TTTTCCATTTTCAAGGCTAATGAGGGTTGTAGGTGGTCTCAGAAATTGGGCCTATGCTTGCCAAGTCCAAATTTAAACTTAGATTGTAAACATCCTGCACTTTCAATATAATATGTAAACTTAAGATACCATGCTGTTTAAACACAAAAACTTGAAATAACTTGGTCCTGAGCTTGGTATTTGCATGCTTGAAACCTGGGCTTACTTCTGAGTAGACAACCATTAAATTGTCTCCACAAGCCTGCACACTACTGGCTGGAAAACTGTTAACTTTGGAATCTGAGTAAACATCTGGAATTCACGTATTCTGTATGCATGGTGAGAAAGTGTTCACACTGAAAATAACTACGTTTGTCTATGTGTTAGTATGTACTCTTATTTTTATATATCACGACCAAAGGATCTGATAATCCAGAATCATTAAAAAGAAACTGGGTTCATATCTGGCTCCTCAGTAGAGAGAGCAACAAGGCAAGAATCCTGAATGAAGGACAAAACTAAACCTCCATATTGGAGGTTTCTTGTCATATTTGCATAAAAAGTTACTGCCATCCAGCATGTATTTATTACAAGTAGATCCACAGTCAACATTCACTCAAATCTACATTAAAACATGAAGAATGTAATACAGTGTTGGTGTGGGGTGGAGGTGTCTATGATGCATGACTTGTTTTTCTTACATTTCATTCATTAATTCATTAATTCAACTTCTATCCTGCCCATCTGGTTACCAAGGTTGTTAATCATTTAGAGTAATGCAGAGCACTAAGTTGGCAGTATAGCATTAATTCAACTTCTATCCTGCCCATCTGACTACCAAGGTTGTTAATCATTTAGATTAATGCAGAGCACTAATTTGGCAGTATAGGAAATGATAGATAGATAGATAGATAGATAGATAGATAGATAGATAGATAGATAGATAGATAGATAGATAGATAGATAGATAGATATGCATTTGAGGACTAACTATGGTTGGGAATGCTAACTGCAGTACATATGCAGGCATGTAGTTTCATAGCACTCACTGTGTAAGAGCTTCTCTGCTCTGAACTCAGTCTTAATTCGTATTTGTCCATTCCTTCCCAAACATGACATTCTTTTTATTGAATGTCCTCCCAGTAACCTTGTTCATAAGGTCAGATTTCAAGTTTATTCTGTGAAAATGTCTAACAGCTGTTTGCAATTTGTGCTCCCTTTAACATCTATTTTTGCCTTCTTTCTATAAGATGTGCTGTGCTGAAAATAGCATTCTTGGTGCAACTTATGTATACCATATAAGGCAGCATTTCTCAATCTGGAGCTCTCTGAATGTTCTGGTTATGGGAATTGTAGTCTAGAGTACAAGAGCCTAAGTGCTATGGTGGATGAAATGTTGGAATAGGACTCAGGAGAGTTTGGTTCAAAGCCATTCTCAGCCCTGGAAACTGCCTGAGGAATGACAATGGCAAAACATCTCGCTTACCTTGAAAACTGTATCAGAGTCACCAAAAGTTGGAAGCAACTTGACAGCATGCAAAACTGATAGTCCCAAACACAGAGGCAGCAGTTACTTTTTGGGCCACCGTTCCTGGGGGCATTCTTTTATAGTCAATATAGTATTTTCCCCCCAAGCCCAGACAAATTATCTGGGTGGCACCAGGTTGGGGAAGGCTAATAAAAGAACTTGCATTAGTCTCTGTAGTTATCTTGACTAGTTCTCATAAATATCTTGACCTCATAAATCTCTCTAAGCCCTTCTGCTCTTTTTATCCCACAAGTTTATGGTGAAAAAAATTAAATCAATCAAGGTGGTGAGACATTGTTTAAATAGTGAGTATTCCAATTACTTACAATTTATGTGGACAGGGTTGTCTCTTCTAGGAACTTGGTTGTCCTCTCTGTGATCTCTTATGCCTCACAATCTCTCACAGTTTCGTATACTCTCTGTCTAAGAATGCACCATGCACGAGTGGGAACTAGGTCACAGAAGGTATGTTTTATATCTCTCAAAATCAGTCAGAGATGATCATAGCCAATATTTTTGATGGCTAAAAGCTCTTGGCTCAGGAGGATCATAGAGAGTGGTTCTCCGGACAGCCATAAGCGATTTCATTTCACATTTTTTCCTTTGTCTTAATTTGTTTTGAAACTTCAGAATATGGAGCCCATATCCAGAGTAAGATAATTTATAGTCCAGAAAAGTAACTTTATCATTGCTAAAGTTACTTTTATGAACTATATGTTTCTAGCTGCCCAGGGAGCTATGATCTTGGAGCTGTAGTTCAAAATAGTCGATTTTCTGACCTCTGCTCATGTCCATGGATACCATGGGGCCAGAAATGGACATTAGAGTTAGCCCATATGTTAACATTGCAGAGAGATAATTAAGGAAGTCTATACTGCTCATGTGGGAGTGGGCTGGTGCAGCTAAATAGGGTCACTTGTGGTCAGGTGGAGGTGTAGATTTGCTGATTGATCCATGGCAGCAATCTGGAAGCAAAGGTTCCATGCTGTGGCTTTCAACCTTTGGAATGCTCTTCCATTGGTATTTGGGAAGTGCCAACTGTGTCATGCTTGAAGCACTGACTGAAGACCTACTTCTTCACTCAGTTTTTTTTCTGAATGACTATGTTGAGGGCCGGCAGGGATCAGGGTGCTGGCTCGGGGAACTGCTATGCATTCTTGGATCTCCAGGTAGGCCGAGAGAAGTCTCGGTGAGCAGTGGTGGTGAAGGAGAATAATTTTATTGTTTCTGTTGATTTTAATGCCTAGATGCCTGTCTTTTCTTCCCTCCCAGCTGTTTTGAGAGGGCTCACTGGCTCAGCATAAAGGTGCTTGTATATGTGCTGCACACATAACATGTTTTAAAAGGGGTGTGGAAAATTCACATCATGTCTCCGACGTACATGCACACATTATTTTGGAAATATTCCCCAAGGAAAAATCCCTGTGACATTATAAAGGAGTATTCCTGTTGTCTCAGATTCTGCTCATTGTATCTCAGGGAATGTGAAGGTGCTGGTACGTTAACCCTAATGGAGTTTGCTCCTGACTCTTTGAACAGTTGATATTTTCGTATTTTTATTGGTAATTATTTTATATTTTAATTATTACTCTGATTCTTTTAAATTGTCTTTTACTTCTTTTTATGCAGTGCGTGACAGGGACGGGGACTTCAGTCATAGGGCTTACTGTCAAGTCAGAATTAAGTTGCATCAGTGACTGCATTCGGGTTTGACTTGGGTTTTACCCCCAATGATTTGGACTCAAGAACCCACCTCTCCCTTTTTTTCTGGGGGGAAAAGCTTTGAATAGGGAGTTGGGCTTGGGACTTGGTACCAAAGACTCAGACTCAGACTTGATATCAAAGACTCAGACATAGGACTTGGACCAAAGACTTGCCAACATCTCTGGTGTGTGACATTGTTTTAGATAGCGTGATATAATTTGATCAAGGATTAGAAAGTCCCATTGAATTTAATGGGGCAGGCTTGCTTCCAGATAATTTGGTATAGAATTGCAACTAAAGATTTAACTAGAAAGTCAAAAATTAATGGGAAAGGGTATCTTTCTCTTAGTGAAGCCACAAACTAAGGGTATAAAGGTGCACCCATAGTTTGTGGTAGCACTATTTTTTTGAGACTATTTTGATTGTTGTGTGTACATTACATTAACTTCCATTGCACCAAATGGGTGAACAACAACAACTTATTTATAACAACAAATAAATGTGTCCCATCGCCTTGACTGCAAATTAACAACAACCCTTTCCAGGGTTTTCCAGGTATAGAGTAATATTTTTAATTAGATAGTGAGCTCCCTTCTACTTCTTTTTTTACTAGAACGGCAATTTTTTTCTAATATGGAAATATATCTAAATTTAATGAACTGAGATACAATCTGAGATAAAGAGCTTGGAACTGTACTTTTTGGGTCCATATCTTGAGCATGGAGAAATTGGACTTCTAGTTTGTGGCTTTAGCTCTACCAGTTTTTGAATGTATTTTCTAGCATAAACTTATCCCCCCCAGTGTAGCTCCAGTTGGCCTAAGTACTTTGACCTGACAGTCAGCTGCTTCGAGGGTGACTTTACAGCTGATGAAGCAAGAGTTTAGTTCTCCACTGGGAACAATGTGAAATGCACAGAAATAGTTCCCAGAGGCCAAGTTTGCGAGAAATATCTGTCATGGGAGTGTTTTAGCTTTTGTCATGTGGCCAGATTTTTACTCAGGTCATTAGAAGATCTAGCCAAGAAATCAGAGTCATTATCAGTTTTTTAAAAAGTGGCTGTGCTGAGCCCTTAGTTCCATTCTGAAGTTCCATCCTTAACCAATTTGTTAGAAAAGTAAATAATCTGGGCTGAAATCCTTTTGTTTAGCATAGTAAGTAGCTACTGGATTAGACCCTTTTCAATCAGCTGAATTTATGGAGGAGTTGAATCACCAAATCCCCATTGATCCTACTTGAATGTAACTTACTATGCCATTAACTCTTTCTAGTTAGCTTGGCAAAAGGTAATCATCACCTACAGTGGAACTCTGGAAGTACTAGATTTACTATGTTTTATAATTAATTGAGCATTTTTGTAGGTAAAGTACAACCTCTATTTTTCATTTGTTTTGTCTCTTGATAACAAATTTAGTGTATTTCTCTGTCCTCCCCCTTAAAAATATTTTCTGTTTAACTACAGTCTTGATATATTCTAGTGGATAAAAATGGGTCTACCTCCTCATCTGTACTCATATGCTTATTTGTTTAATAATAAAGCTAAACTCTTCCGAGGCACTGCATGGGTTTGCGAATTAGCCATCATCAAATTGGCAGCATCCATTTTTGACTGGATGAAGCAATGGCTCTTGTGAATCAGAGGCTATTGCAACATTTTTGAATTGAAACACAAATGATGCAGTAAAATGGGTATTATTGTTTTTAAACATAAAACGTCTTTACTCTGATTTTCTTATTAAAGCATTATTGAACATCCTGTTTATGTCTTATCCATCTCTCTCTCATTTCAGGTGGAAAATGTCCGCTTAATTGATGGATTATCTTGCAAAAGAGCTGCATCAGGGACTCTGTACCTAACAGCAACTCATGTCATCTTTGTAGAAAATGAATCAGATGCTCGTAAAGAGACATGGGTATGATGACAGTTTGTATATTACTGCTATGCACTCTGCATAGAACTTGGTTTATTTTTATACTTTAAAAATGCTCTACAAAGATATAAAGAAAAAAATCAAAGAGTACTGGCTATTTCTGTGCATGTGTTCTATAATTAGAATTTACATATGTAGATTTAAAAAAATCTTGGTCTTGGGAGCTTTCTGTTTAAAAATGTTCTCAGATGAAAATTCATACTGTGTCAAAGGTCAGTACATAAAAAAAGACTTAAATTTATGTGCTCTGCTGGAGTTAAGGATTGAAAATCCTTAATCCAACATGCCCAAGAATGCCCCAGAGGGTGCACTTGGCCATTTAGGGACATTAGAAAAAGTAGAAGAAGAGGTGGGAGGCAACAGGAGGGTTCATGGACAGGCGTGGCCCTTCATTGCCCTTGGAGGTGAACATAATCCCTACACCTCTGGAAGCTGACCACCACTGATTACAGTGGTGCCTCGTGTAACGAGTGCCCTGTTTAACGATGAATCCGCATAGCGATGCGGATTTTGCGATCGCAAAGCGATTGCATTGCAATGTTTCCCCATAGGCCCCATTTCCCTCCAGCTGGCCAGCGGGCGCTTCTGAGCAACCGCGGTGGAGGCTTCCCCGGCAGTCACTCCGAAGCCTGCGCCGCCCAGCTGGGGGGGAAGGTTCGGAGCGCCTGCGGCGGATGCTTCCCTGGAGGTTGCTCTGACGCCTGCTTCAGAGCAACCTCCGGGGAAGCGTCCACCGCAGGCGCTCCGAACCTTCTCCCCTCAGCTGGGCCGCGCAGGCTTCGGAGTGACCGCCGGGGAAGCCTCCACCGCGGTTGCTCAGAAGCGCCCGCTGGCCAGCTGGGGGGAAATGGGGCCTATGGGGAAGCATTAAATGGAGTTCCTATGGGTCCCCCCCCCCCCGCATAGTGAAGAATCCGGATAGTGACGTTAATCCTGGAACGGATTAACGTCGCTATGCGGGGCACCACTGTATAGTTAAAGCACCTGAAATGTAAACATAAATCTAGACAGGTCAAACAAAAATACAGAACACACATAACTAAAATCAAACACTGGTGTTGAGGTGGAGCATAGTTAGTTAATTACAGTTCTCCTTCTACCATGTCTCCATAGGCAGTTTACCAAAGTGGGGCTGAACGATGCTTCCTTCCGCTTACTTAGTTGCTTTTTTTAATAATAATAATAATAATAATAATAATAATAATAATAATAATAATAATAATAATAATAATAATAATAATAATAATAATAATAATAATAATAATAATAATAATAATAATAATAATAATAATAATAATAATAATAATAATAATAATAATAATAATAATAATAATAATAATAATAATAATAATAATAATAATAATGATTTATAATTGTGTATTGCCCAGACACTTCGCTCTTTTTGTTATTTCAAGCATTGCACTCATTAATGTACATAAGCAACTGGATTGAATTGTATTCTTTTACTGTGATATATCCTTGGTTGTTCTTCAGATTGATCTCCTGTTCCTCATTTTTCAGATTCTCCACAGTCAAATCTCCTCTATTGAGAAACAGGCAACAACAGCTACTGGTTGTCCATTGCTGATTCGTTGCAAGAATTTCCAGAACATTCAATTCATCCTGCCTCAGGAGAGAAATTGCCATGATGTTTACATATCTTTAATACGTTTGGCACGCCCAGGTATGGAATGGAAGGGGAGGAGGTGGGCCTGAACACAGGCTGCTAATTAGTCTCATTAAACACTTCCTTCCAGGCACACATGCTTGTTGATGGACCGCTGTCCTCTCTCTAGAAGGGGGCTGAGGAGTTTGGACACTATTTCACCAAGTGAGGAAACCACGCAGTTTCTCTCTGTTGTCCTTTAAACAAGCTGTCTTTAGTATGATTGTATATCTGTGCAAAAAGGCATCCAGAAATGTATGATATTACTAAAACTTAAATTTCTTCCAATACAAGACCAAAGGTAGTTTGCAAAAATAATTTTTAAACTACTGTAAGTGATAATATGAAAATGCAATCAAGCATATAATAATAAATGGCTTGTTTCCAGTCCTCTGCTCATCCTTGTTGCACTCCTTTGAATTTGTTCTAGTCTGCCAACATCCTTCTTAAAGTTTGTTGTCCATAACTGAACATAGTATGCAAGATGAGGCCTAACCAGTGCTGAACAGACTGGGATTTAGTACTGTGTTTGCTTTGGGGACTATACTTCAGTTAATGCAGCCTAAAATGGTATTTACATTTTGCAGCATTTGCAACTTAACTGTCAGTGCTGTATTTAGTAATTTCCAGTCATCACTAAAGACAGTATTATATACATTATACTTAGCATGTAGCAAGTTGGCGAGGTTTAATGTGTTCCATAAATGTAGTTAAGAGCGATGCCGTATGTGAAAGCTTATGCCAAGTAGAATGTGTTTTGTCTCTAAGGTACCAAACATCTCTCTCTGGTTTTTAGAAATGGCTTTCTTTCTACTGTTTATAACTTTATTAACTTCTTCTTTGCTTTCGTTCCTCACCTCAGATTCAGGGCCAGTCCAAAACATTTTGCCCCCTTGGCCAAAACATTAGATGCCAATCTCCTCTTCAAACTAAGATATGTAATAGTAATCAGAACCAGCCAAGATATTTTATACATAGAGCAGGAATTCCCATAAATGCCTCTCTCACAATTAAAAAAAATACAATAACAATATTGTTAGCTGATAGCTGGCCAGATAGCTCAGTGAGTTAGGTATCTGGCTTTGGAGCCAGAGTTTGGGAGTTCGATTCCTGGGAGAAAAGCCAGCGTGTGCAGTCACGGGCAAACTGCACAGTCCCCGGGCACCCCTAGAAGGGAATGGCAAACCACTTCTGTGTATTCTCTACCTGGAAAACCCTGCAAAAAGTGAGAATTGACTTGAGGGCACTTGATTATTTTATTATATAGCTGGCAGTTTGCCAGCCTTCTGTGGCATCCATAATCTACTTCCTCAGGCAGCTGCACCATTGTGCTGAATCGTAGAGCCAGTGCTGCTCTCACCTTTTGACTGAACTAGTATGTTCCACCAAAATGTTTCTTGTAATGACAAGACAGTTGCCACAGTTAAGCTGAGAAATGGGTATCCAGAGAGATGACCTATAATATAAATATGAAGAAATGTGAGGAGATGTAGGAGGTTGAACCAGGGATTAATTGACCTCCACTGGAAATCCATGGTTTGGTTTCATTCTCATTCTACACCCCCTCCCCCATTCTCTCTCTCTCTCTCTCTCTCTCTCTCACTCACTCACACACACACACACACACACACACTCTTATGCACCTTTGTGGTACCTTTTTTATCTATTTTAATTTTTTCTCTGGATATGCTTGCACAGACTAACATGGCTACTTTGAAAATTATATCTAGGAATAAATGATCACTTAAAGTCTTATCATTAAGAGCCCTGCTCAGGTCTTGCAAACTAAAAGCCATGGTTTCCTTTACTGAAGCAAAACCCATCTCATATTAGGTCTTCCACTTTTCCTACTACCTTCAGGGTTAATTTTATCTAAAACCTACTTATTTATCTTTCTAGCAGCCTGTGGTATCTATAGGACTCCCCTCCAATACCACATTTTCTTTTTACCTTCCGAGGCTTGCTGAAGGCAGGGGGAAAGGGCGGGAATTTCAAAAATGTCATATCATTTGCCTGTTTCATTTACCAAAAATAGTTTTTGCTGTCCAAATGACTAGTCCAGAATCAAGCCACACAGTGACAGGAGGAAAAACTGAGACCTAGCTAGAAATATAAAAACAGCAGTCTTCAAGGGAGATTATTCCACATAACTCAACCAAAGAGGTCTAGCCCCATGCTGCAAAGAAATAACGGGAAAAGGAAACTACTGTATATTAAAATATATTAAAATAAAGGTGCAGAAAGAACTCAGTTCTCACACAGCCTTTCCTGTGTTTCTGTGATGTGGACCAAATGGCCAAAAGTACCTAATCGAGGTGAGAGAAAATGTTGGCTGTTACCATAAGTTTGGATTTAAGATGTCTAGATAGAAAGAACACAGAACTTTTCTGAAAGCCTAATAAGATGCTTCTTATATACAATTCTAACAAATTGCAGGCTTCATTTCTTTTAATAGCCTGTGAGAAATGTGACAGCTGAACAGCTAAGCAAATAATTGCTGATGGTTGTGAAGCAATAAAAATAATTCAAATGGATAAATAGTTTTTATGTCTGCCACCTCCTCCCCCCCCCCAGTGAAATACGAAGAGCTGTATTGTTTTTCCTTCAACCCAAAATTAAACAAAGAGGAACGAGAAGAAGGCTGGAATCTGATAAACTTGAAGAAAGAGTATAATCGGATGGGGGTTCCAAATAATTACTGGCAGATCAGTGATGTCAACAGAGATTACCGAGTAAGTTGCTGTTTATTGATGGTGTGGCTTGAATCATATTTTATGAGAAACACAATGGATAGTGACAAAAGGAGAGGAACAAGGAAAGGATGGTGTGTGTGAGCATAAATCACAGTTTATTGGACCAACAGTGTTGCTTCTAAACTATACCATAGTTGAGAGAAAATTTGAAGTCTTATCATATGCTCATTCTGTTTCATTGGTTGTGCATAGATACTAGTCTTTGCAAAGAGTATTCTGCACAACCTAGCTTTTAGTATATCTGAATTGGAGAGCGTTAATTTTGTTTAGTTTTCTTTAGAATTCATATTTACTGTGGAGAGATATGGATTATCATTTGTGAAGGACTTCCCAATAAACAATGGGAAGTGCTTCACAAATGGGAGAATGCTTTAATGTGCAGTTGGACAATCTTTTACAAACCAGTTGAGAATGCTGAGTTGTGTTTCTATCTATTTGCACAGGTATGTGACTCGTATCCCATTGAAGTATATGTCCCGAAATCAGCTACTGCCCACATCATTGTGGGAAGCTCTAAATTCCGCAGCAGGAGGCGTTTCCCTGCACTTTCCTATTACTACAAGCAAAATAATGTAAGTGACGGATGGATATTTTGGCATATTTAATTCATTTGGCCTGTTTATTAATATTAAAATAATTTGATTTGGATTAAGGACAAATGACATGATTAAGGACAAATGATATTGCACAATATGTCTCCTGATGCTCTATTTGGATTTTCCTAGACATACTGGTACAGCAGTTGTTATTCTCCTAATAAAACAGAGGATGCCTAGGTTTCCTCTTGTTTGCTAAAGAGAAGGAAAAATTGCTCCTCCAAGAGTCTTCTTTTGTAGAGTTCTATTGTCCCGTTAATCAGGGGCACCTTAATTGATTCTCTTTTTCTACTTTTCATGTTGCTGAACCCTGAGCTCATTAGCACTTTGCAGACTTATGACTCGCTTTAGAATAAGAGTAGGTTAGAAATTGCAATTTTGCTTGGAATATGATATGATAGTTTTTGGTATTGTGTTTTGTCTCAGATGGGTTCAACAGAAAGGGCGACTAGTTTATTTAAGCACCAAATACAGACTTATAAACCATTTACCTAAATTAGTCACATACATTGAAATCAGAGTAGGAGAATTTGGATGATACATTTGCTGATATTATGAGTGCTGGTTGCCAGTTAATTTTAATGGGTTCAGTTTGGGATTGCATAAAATTGCTTTTCTTGGTATACTTATATACCGCTCCGTAGTGCTTGGAGCACTCTCTGGGTGATTTACAGCATAATTATAGAAAGAACACTTTCCCCACCCAGCAACCTGGGTACTCATTTTACCAACCTTGGAAGGATGGAAGACTGATTTGATCTTGAGCTGGCTACCTGGGCCCATCGGGATTGAATTCAAGTCATGAGCAAAGACTTGACTGCAATACGGCAGTTTAACCGTTGCGTCACTGCAAAGCAGTGATTCTGACTGTGTAGCCTTCCAGATGTTTACTAGAACTTTCACTGGCCCTAGCTAACACAGCTAATAGCAAGAGATGTTGGGGCTGTAGCTGGTCACCTCTGGAGGCACCACACATTTCCATCATTGTCACAATGATTTTTGTTGAGTTTTTCTTCTATTCTATTCTCTTTAGCTGTTAACTTTAAGACACAAAGTATTCATTGGCTCTTTCTACTGAGATGATAAACTTCTTTTTTCTTTGAGCTATAGAATCCCCAACTTGACATGGCCACTAGCAGCCCTTATGGACTTGTGTTCTGGGTGGAATGTAGACATCAGAAACTGAGTTTTTTTGTTATTGTTCCTGCTAAACAATCTCACTTAGAGGTAGGTGGTACAGTGGTTAAACTGCAGAACTGCAGTGAAAACTCTGCCCACAACCTGAGCTTGATCATGATGGGCTCAGGTAGCTGCCTCAAGGTTGACTCAGTTTTTTATCCTTCTGAGGTCGGTCAATTTATTACTCAGCTTGCTGTGGAGGCAATGTGTAGCTTACATAGCATAGGCATCCTTCAGTCTCGAGAGACTATGGTAACATGCTCTGGATCGAGGAGTGTCCTCTCCAGAGCATGAAGCCTGGGTAACATAATATGAAGGATAGGCTGTTACCCAAGCAGCAGATCCCCCCTTTCCACATTGCTGAAATGGTCCAATGGAAAGGCAAGAGCCAATACAACTGGTTCCAGCAATGTTGCAGGAGTTGGCAGAACGACACATGCTGCCTTCGAGACTCCGGCTCCGGATTTTGCCTCTAGGTTAACTCCTGAAGCCTTTTCCATGAGTGGATATAGCTACAAGGCAGTGGAGGTTTGAAATCGGAGTTTTCCTTCTTCTAGATGGGCTGCCTTCCATGGCTGACGAGAACAGTTTGCTTTAAAGGGCCTTTGACTTGGGTTCTTGTTTACAGCTAAGCAGAAGTCAGCTTAGGTGCAGAATGGGGTGCTTTTTGGGAACCAAAGTATATAATAGGAACCCATTGTGACGCTTAATTGAGCTTTGGGGCAGCCAGTTGCTTATCCTTAAACCAGGAATGGTGAACGTGTACCACTTTGAAATGGTCATTTTCATTTGGTCATACCAAGTTTACAAATCTAAATAATTATGTCCCAGTTTTGCTTTCTCACAGGCCTCCATATGCCGGAGTAGCCAGCCTCTGTCAGGCTTCAGTGCCCGATGCCTCGAAGATGAACAGATGCTACAGGCAATCCGAAAGGCAAATCCGGGAAGTGATTTCATTTATGTTGTTGATACACGTCCCAAAGTAAGAGGATTCCTATTCTGTTGTCTGATTATTAATGCTGAGTGTGGCCAGACCCATCTCTGTTGCTGTAATATAGGGTATGTGTAAAAGCTTATTGAAATGAAATGGTAATTAGTTAATGGCATTGAAATGAAGTTGTTTCGGAAATATCTATGACTTTTAGCTTTCTCATACCATAAAAAGGAATGCCAGCCCAGTTGTATATCATGTCCCTCCAAATATAGAAGTCTTTTGTTCCTCAGAGTGATCCATTCTTTCAGCAACATTAAAATGCATGATTGATAATATAAAGTCCAGTTCGGTAATTCAAAGCCCCCTTTTCCTTAGCGTCTTGTAACATTTTCAGTTTAATTCTAGCTTTCTTCCTTTGCCAATTGAATTTTAATATCAATTCATTTAAGTCATCAAAGTATTTCTTCTCTTTTTCACTGGTACTGTTTGAAATAAAAAAGTAACTTTGGTAGAGTATTCATTTTAATTGTTTTTCCATTTTTCCAAGTCCATGTTTATTTGATTAGATAATGTTATGTAGTTGTTTTCTTTTATGGTTACTTATCTGGCAGTTAAGTATATTCTAAGGTATTTAACTTTTTAAACTATTTCTAAGTCTGACCTCTCGGAAAGTTGACTTTTTTGTTTGGCTATTAAATGTTTCACCATAACTTTAGTTTTTTCTTTATTTATCTTCAGTCCTGCTACTTGTCCAAATTCCTCAATCTTTCCCAGTAATTTCTACATTGTTTCCAGCGGTTCTTCCAAAATGAATACAAAATGAATGCCTTTTTTCATATTAATATTGTCCGTCAACTCACCGTTTACAATTACTTTTGCTGTTTGTTCATTATAGATTGTCTCAATTACATTTATGAAGTTCTCGCCAAAGTCCATATATCTTAGTTGCTGTATCATAAATTGCCAGCTCACTGTTGTCAAACGCTTTTTGTTACTCAAACTCGCAACAAGTGGAAATATTGCTGTATTACATTGTTTTGTAGGGACTTTTTCAGAATCCTCTTTTCCTTCCATTCTCTTTAGGTACTCAGTTAAACAGCAAAGAAGTGGAGTTTTAGTTACTCTCCTAAGGTGTCCGTGTGTGTATTTCCATTAATGTGTGACTGAAGCTTGCAGAAACTGGCACCAGAAACTGGCACTTGCTTATTGCAGTGATCCTACTGCAGCCACACTTGCTGTGCCATCTCTAGAAAGGATAGAGAGAGGTGCTTCTCTGTGTGTGGTTGGTAAGACCTTGGGGTGGGCAACCTCTCTTAGGCAGGCGACATATTTGAACCATATCTACTGGATACTGCAACTCTCCTGCGGTTGTCCCTGTGGTTCCCGCTGGCGCTGCAGTTTCCGCTGAGGTTTGGTAGCAAGTGCAGCAGCTCTCTAGAGCAGTGGTTCCCAATCTTGGATCTGCAAATGTTCTTGGACTACAACGGCCAGAAGCCCTGGCCAGCACAGCTAGTGGTGAAGTCTTCTGGGAATTGTAGTCCAAGAACACCTGGGGGCCCAAGGATGGAAACCACGGCTCTAGAGCATAAGAGGTCAGGATGCCTTCTGTGCTTTCTCATAGCGCAGAGCCCCGGTTTATGCCGGGCAGAATTTCTTCTTCCTTTGCTTTTCTTTTCAGAAAAGAAGAGAAAGCTAACTAGAGGGCTTTTTGTACCTTTGCTGATTTTGGTGGTGATGTTCTTCTTTCACCATTGCCAAAGCACAGTCGGCAGTGGTGGCCTCGGACCTGCCTGGTTCCTATCCCTCTAAGTATGGGAGCTCCTGCAGTTCCCCTTTAGTATGAGCCTACAAGGAGGTGCAGAATTAGAGATCTCTGAGAGATCTAATGAGGGCTTCAATACCAATTTAGACAGGTAGCAGACAAGTAGCTAATTCCTTTTTCTGGAAAACAGTCTGCCATCATTCATCTGGACCAGCTCTACTATTAGGTGAAGTGGAACATGTGCTCCTGTGGCCAAATAGGCAAGCAGGGTCTAAGTGGAGACAACAGGGCTCAATGAACAATGGCTGTGACCAAGACAATATAAAGACAAGACATTTTTTAGTATTGTGCTTTGAACAGAACAGAACAAGCTTTATTGCTTAAAACCATAGGTAAAGGTAAAGGTTCTTCTTCACAAATGTCCAGTCATGTCCGACTCGAGGGCGCGGTGCTCATCCCCGTTTCCAAGCTGTAGAGCCAGCATTTGTCCATAGACAGTTGCCGTGATCATGTGGCCAGCGCGACTAGACACAGAACGTCGTTACCTTCCCACCGTGGTGGTACCTATTTATCTGCTCGCATTTTTACATGCTTTCGAACTGCTAGGTTGGCAGGAGTTAAAACCATGGGTCACCACAATAACAACAGCAACACAAAACTGCACTGACCCCATATATCTGTACATAAATTCAAGATGACATAACTTCCCTTCTTTCTTAAGACTTCTGATGCTTGGCACGTATTTCCTTTGCTGCCAAAGCAAATTTTGCTACTTGATAGGTGGTATTTGCATCCCTACCCACAAGCAGTGTTCAAAGTCTTAGTATTGTGCTTAATAAATAGCTCTAGAATCTTCTGCAGCTTTGTACATTGTATTGTTGCCAAAAGGTGTTCTGTGGTATGAAGAGGTCAGTATTCCTGTCACAGGAGCTTGCCATAAATCATCAGGGAAACTTTTCAGACCTGCAGTAGAGTTCGTTTTCTTTTCTTTTCTTCTTTCTTTCAATAAAAACAAAGTTTATTCCAGGTTACTTGCATTCTGGTATAAATACAACACAGTTCTCTGAAGTTCTCCCACTTTTGTAAAGTGTTGTTATTAATTAGTTAATTATTAGTTGGTTAATTATTAATTAGTTCATTCATTAGTACCTCTGCTAAATTAATCCAGGCCCTGAAGACTTGGAAGTTGGAGAACAAAACTGTATATATATTCCGATACTAGAGAGAGATTGCCCTCTTCTGGATAAATTGTGCCATCAAAAGCATTGTTTCATCCATTTATGGAGAAAAATTATCAGCTGTTTGGGTAAAAAAGCATCATTTCTCATTTTTGTTTGATACTAGTGCCCTCGCAATCTAAGGTTGGTGGGTGCTCCACCCTTGTTTTGTTTTGTTTTGTTTTGTTTCCTTTAGTGGCAAACAGGAGTTTGCCCTTCCATTATGAATAGAGAGGGCATCATGCCAGAAGTGAAGGACAGATGGGCAGTTGGCTTATAGAGCCAAAAGAATAGAAGAGTTTTGTTAGCTTGAAAGGCTCTTCTCATGGTTTGGCTGCAATAACTCATGTTGCCCAAGAAGTCTAATTTCCTCTTGAATTTCTCCAGCATTGGAGCTCTTGCTACCTTCCAAGGCATTGTCATACAGCTCTAACAGTTAGAAAGTTTTTCCTGATATTCCACTGATATCTGGCTTCCTGTACTTGGAGGCTATTATTATGTGTCCTGCACTCTGGGATGATTGAGAACATACCTTGCCCTTCCTCTGTATGACAGTCTTTCAAGTAACCGAAGAGTGCTATCACATCTCTACTCAGTCTTATTTTCTCAAAGCTAATCATATCCAGATCTTTCTGTCGACCTTCATAGGGCTTGGTTTCCAGTCCCCTGATCCTTCTTGTTGCCCTCCTCTGAACGTCTTCCAGTTTGCCTGCATCCTTCTTAAAGTGCAGTATCCAGAATTGGACATAGTACTCAAGATGAGGCCGAAACAGTGCTAAATAGAGGGGAACCAGTGCTTCATGGTATTTGGAGATTATACTTCTGTTAATGCGGCCTAATATAGCATTTGCCTTCTTTGCTGCCACATTGTACTGTTGGCTCATATTCAGGTTGTAGTGTACAATAACTGTAAGATCCTTCTTATGTGTAATATTACTGAGCCACATATCCCCTCCATCTTGTAACTGTATATTTGGGTTTTTTCCCCCTAGATATAGAACTTTGCACTTATCCCTGTTAAATTTCATTCTTTTGTTTTCAGCCCAGTGCTCAAGCCTATCCAGATCTTCCTGTGGTTTTGTAACCAGCTATGAACCCACCTGGGAGTTGTTCTATCCAGTCCACATTAGTTAACTTGCTAATCAGAATATAATGGGACACTTTATCAAAAGCTTTGAAGTCAAGATATATTACATCTACACATTTCCACCTTCTATTAGGGAGGTTACCTGATCAAATAATGAGATAAGATTAGTCTGAATAGATTTCTTGTTGACAAATCCATGGATTTCCTCTTGACAAATCCATGTTGGCTTCTGGTTATTATTCCATTGTTTCCAAAGTTCTTTCAGAGTGACCACTTTATAATCTGCTCCAGAATTTTCTCCAGGGTCGATATCAGGCTGACTGGTCTGTAGTTCCATGGTTTTTCCTCTTTGCCCTTTTAAAATGTAGGGATGTTAGCCTTCCTCAGCTGGATCATGATTCTGAGAGTTTTTCAGCCAGTTCCTCCAGTATTCTCAGATGCAGTTTATCCAGTCCTGGAGATTGGAACTTGTTCAATATAGCAAGCTGTCTGTTGACTGTTTATCTGTCTTGAGCTGCACTCCTATCACTTCCCTTTGTATTTCACATTTGCCCTGAAGGTCATACTGTCTTACCTAAAAAAACTGAACTAAAATAGGAATTGAACACTTCTGCCTTTTCTTTGTCATCTGTTATCATTTTCCCATCCCCACTGAGCCACTATTTCCTTTCTCTGTCCTTTGCTACACACATACCTGAAGAATGCATTTTTGCTGCTCTTCCTGAAATCAGCCAATCACCAGCTCTATTTCCTTTCTCTGTCCTTTGCTACACATATACCCGAAGAATGCATTTTTGCTGCTTTTAGCCTCTTCCTGAAGTCAGCCAATTACCAGCTTTTGCCTTCCTAACACCATCCCTTAAATTCCTTGCTACCTGCCTGTACTCTTCCTTTGTTGCTTGACCATCTTTCCTATATTTGTCCTTTTTTGTTTCTTTGTTTTCAGGTCCTCTCTGACCTTTTTCTGAAACCACCTTGGTCTTTTTTTTGCTGTCTTCTGCCTTTTTTTCTTGGAAGTGCATTTTTGTTCCCAACTTACTTGTGTAAAATCATTGTTAGAGTCATCAACACCATCATCAATAAATTAAAGCCATTTCCACACAGCCCATCACAGTTGAATCTGAGGCAGCCCAGAATGGTGTTATAAAGGCTTGATTCTCAATAGCAAGAGTCTACCACAGCAACAAACAGGTTCAATTTCTGTCATCCAAGCCTATACTTTTAAGAATTCTCTCTTAGAAGTAAAGGGCAACCCTGATTCCTGTGCTGAAGAGCAAAGCTTGCAGTTGGATGTTCAGGGGTCCATCTTCTGTCCTAATACCAGCTGACCCAAACCTCACTGGCAAAAATTTGCCAGTTTCAGTATCCCTGAAAAAGTCTATAACTTTCATCCATTTTGCCAGTGCAAAGAATGGCAAGGAATGCTGGAGCTGCAGTCCAAAAATGTCTGTAAAACATGAAATCTCTTTTCAGTTCCATATCATTTGGTATAATGATGCCCAAAAGGCAGTATCTAGTAGTTGTTGGTGAACATAGACCATGAAGACATGGGCTTAGCTGCAAAACCTACTGGATGATCTTGGACCAGTCACTAGGGCTCAATCTAGTTCATTGTGAAAATAAAATGGGGTGGGGGCATCACTATATATGGCACTCTGGGATCATTGGGGTAGGGGTGGGATAAAAATCTGGGGGACAGTTTACCATTTTAAAATGCCCTTAGTACCGAGACAGCAATTGCAGAGAAGGGTCCCAGTTTCGCTTTGTATGCATAAGCATTTTAATGGTGGTTTTAAGGGACAGACACAACTGTGGTCCTCCAGGTGCTGCTGGACTGTGGCTTCCATGACCTTGGACTATGATTGGCTAGGAAAACATTTGGAGGGCCACAGTTATCTACTCCTGCTTTAAAGTTTAGATATGTAGCATTCCCAGTGTGATGTAGTGGATAGAGTGTTGGACTAGGATTCTGGAGAAGAGGGTTCAAATCCCCACTTGGCCATGGAAACGCACCGGGATGTGTGGAATGGGTAAAACTATTCTTTAAACATTTTACTTGCTTTGAAAGACCTGTTAGGGTCTTTATAAGTCATTTCTGCCTTCACAGCACAGAACGCACACGCATAGTTGAATACTTCATTGTAAATTGTCTCGGTCTTCGATGCATTACATATTCCTTTATCTTTTGACAGAGAATATTATCTGGTCTGATCCCTGTAGTGTTTTTTCCATCTCCTTGTTCTCCTTTTGTAGCTCAACGCAATGGCAAACAGAGCAGCTGGGAAGGGCTATGAGAATGAGGACAATTACTCCAACATAAAGTTTCAGTTCATAGGGATTGAGAACATCCATGTAATGCGGAGCAGTCTCCAAAAAATGCTAGAAGGTAAAACTTCACCCCTGTAGATAACCATAACCATTTCCACTCTGTTTCATCTGGTTTTTGGCGAGTGAGCTGTGAAGGTCTTCAAAAATATAAATATCTTTATACTGTAGTTTAGCAGTAATTAGTTAATAGCATTAATACAGTATTTTACCACAGGGGTAGATGGCTTGGGGAGACTTGGGAACCAGATTTTTGCCCCAGATCATGGAGTAGGCCTAGAAATGGCCAGAACCATTATTGTTTACAAAACAAAACAGGGAAGGTCCAGGCAGGCAAATCCATCTTTGACTTGTGGGAGGGGGCATTGGGCAGGGAAACTTGGAGGATCCCAAAACTAGCCTTTCTGGAGATTTCTGGGAATGTCAGTGCAGGAGGCTCTCTGGGGTCACCTTGACAGCTATAAAACACATCTAGGGGCTTCATGAAGCCCTCACAATGTATTTAGCCCACTACATGTTAACGGTTTTGATGCTGAAGCATTAATGTTTAATACTTACTCTTTGTCATTCAGCTTGCTGGGAAGAAGGAAAGATCAAAATTTCCTTTTTTTATAATCAAATCTTTGACCTGCATATGTGGCCTGATTATAAACAGACTTCATAGCAGGACTGGTAATTTGTAAGCCCTCCTGATTTTTTGGAACATAAACAAGCCCCAACCAGCAGGGACAATGTTGAGGATCTGTAGGAGTCCAAAACATCTGGAGGGCCAAAATACTTCAGAAGGAGGTTGGGCAAAGAGAGCTGCTGATGTAGAATGTAAGATTTAGATGTGATATAAGTAGTTTGCCATTCAGCTGTGAAACTCGCTTGGTAAGCTTAGACATGTTACTCTCTCTGTTAGCCTTACCAGTCCTTCAGGCTTATTGTAAATATAAACTGAGATAAATCTATATATCATTCCTTCAACTCTATGGAAGACCAGGATAAGAATGTGAGAAATAAATTTAATGCTGCTTTTTTTGTTGTTTTAGTATTTATTGCTAACAAAGATAAAATGCTATCAGTTTCTCTTCCTCCATTCCAGCATAAGAAATAAGGTCATCTTGTGCGTTGCTGAGTTTGCTGGAGGCTTGAGCCTCCCTCTCAACAGCATGTTGTTTCCTGTGCTTAAGGCTGGATCTGCCCCACATTCTCCTCTCTAGAGATACTTCTTAAAGACTAAAGTTTTCTGGTGCTGATATGCAGGTCTTGAATGGAGCTTTTGCTTAGTAATAGAATTCCTTGCTAGATGAATTCACCATTGAACTCCAGGTCAGTGGCCATCATCACCTGCCATATATATGACGTAGGTTGGTAATTTCGGGCTTTATGGATTTTGCTCAGTAAAGTGGAGAGCAAATATTGATTTTGATAGGGGAACAAAGCTCTATTTTGGCTTTATCTGTGCTTTGCAAACAGAGAAGTAGCCATCTCAGATCAAATCCAGCTGTTAATGGTTTGCGTGCCCATCTGTGTGGATATATTAATCATTTGACAGGTTTCTTGCTGTCAGAAGTGCACTGTTCTGAGGACAGTTTTGTGAGATGCCTTTTTGAAAACAACCTTTTCTGATAAATTGTGGAAGGAATTGCTTGGTGAAAAATCAGACGGATGTCCTTTAAGTCAAATGCATAGGATGCTGCCTTATGTTGGAACACATTGCCTGTTAAGCTCTGTGCTGTCTACTTGAATTACAGCAGCTGTCCCCAGGGAACACAGGAAATTAAGGCATTGCCTCATATTGAGTCAGAGCTTGCAGCATTATTGTTCTGGACTCCAGCTTCTTTAATTCCCCAGCAAACATAGCCATGGTGTATCTGAGTTAGACCACATATCTCAGTTTGTCCACATATCTCAGTTTGTCAACACTGACTGATAGGAGATCTCCGAGATCTTTTTCTCAACCCTATCTAGAAATGTGAGGATTTGAACATGGGATTTTCTGTATGAAAAACATGTCCTGTGAGAAAGTTTCCGTCCTTCTTCAGAGAGGCCAAAATCTTGTTCTGTTAATTATACTTGTGTACGATTGATGGCTTCACCAGCAAAAGAGATTAACAGTAATTAAAGAGTTCCTGTTTCCATCCAAGAGTTCACTAGAACAATGAGAATGGCTGTTGATTAGTGAGGCAAACCCTGGGATCAAAGCAGTCTGTCTCTGCCAGTGACATCATAATCTTTACACAGACATAATTTACAGAACAGGGTTTTTGCCAACATCTACTATTCCCCAAACTATTATTCCACTCGAGTTTAGGTTTTGTAGACGTTTGCCTGTCTAGAGCCGCCTAGAGTGGTCCTCGTTTGACCAGATAGGCGGGATATAAATAAAATAAATAATTTTTATTTTTTTCCTAAATGTATGAGCTCTCCTTGTTTGAAAGCGCGGGATCTTGGCAATGATGTAAAAAAATGTCAGATCTGTGACAGACCATTCAGACTTAAGCGATCTTTGCAGTGAAAGTGATGAATATGAATATGTGAACAAGCACCTTGGATGCTCCCACCCTCTCTACCCATGTAATATATTTTGGAACTGTCATATAAAACATTGATCTCATTTACTGAAATTAGCTTATTTTGCAGTTTGCGAGCTGAGATCTCCTTCGATGAGTGACTTCCTCTGGGGACTAGAGAATTCAGGCTGGCTGAAGCACATCAAAGCCATAATGGATGCAGGCATCTTTATTGCAAAGGTACAATCTGCATTTCTTAAAAGAAAACCGGGAATGTGCTGATTGAGGAAACTTGATTGTATGCTATCATCTTACTGCTGCCTTGAAGGATTATTATATAAGAAAGGAATGTGACCTAAATATGGGGTGTTTTAGTGCCAGAGAAGGAAGTGATGTTGTTCATTAACAAGATGTTCCTTGTGGAACAGAGTCACTCAAATTATGTGCAGCCTGTTTGGCCCACCTGCCCAAGGGGCTATCACCTGTCCTTTGAACCTTTTCCAAGTACACCACACTCCTGACCACTGGCTATGTCATGTGGGAGATCATAGTTCATAGCTTGAGAGTGTATCATGATTCTGCACTGCCTCTGGACTCTCAGATGTCAGCGGTATTGAAGGGTGCTTTTCTGCAACTGCTTAGTGTGCCAGTTACAACTATTCTTGAGTCAACCTGATTTGGCAGGCATTATCCATGTATTACTGTAATTGCATTTTGTCTTTACTACTGAAATATGCTTTATATAGGGCTGTCCTTAAATCATGTCTGGGAGATTAGTTAGTATAGTATCCAAGAGCTATCTTATTATTCTTATATTGAAAGACTGACACTGCTGGCCAGTTACTTTCCTGGAAATGTGTGTTGTGAAAACCTTTTTTTCCCTTTTGTTTTGAGTTCTTTCAGCTTGTGGGGAGGTGCCTTTCTTCATTTTTGTGTTTTGTTTTTCCCTTTCATATTTTATGGTACTAGTGCAATAAAGCCATAACCCCCCCATAAAAACTACCCCAAAAAGCAGAAGAAAGGCAACAGAGAAAATCCCCCCCAAATCAGGGGAAATTGGGTTTCACTGAATTTCAACCAATTCAAAGCCTTTTTGCATTCGTGAATGCTTTCATGGCCAGAATCTAATGGTTGTTGTGGGTTTTTCGGGCTCTTTGGCCGTGTTCTGAAGATTGTTCTTCCTAACGTTTCGCCAGTCTCTGTGGCCGGCATCATCAGAGGACAGCACAACCATCAAAACCTTTTACAACTTCAAACTCCTTGCCACACCCTTCCTGCACTTTCAACTTGGCTGATGACAGCGACCCTCACAATGCTATTGGATAAAAAGTTTCCTAGGCAATTTGACAGACAGAACTAGAAAGAGAGTTAAATGAAAGAAAGAGGCATGAAAAAGCAAAACTGCCTCTTTATTATTGAGGCAATTCATGTTTTCCCCCTTTCATTAAAACTCAAAAATCTTATCTCTAAGTAGTTACTTTCCCAGCCCAGTTCAAGGTTTTGGTTTTAATTTTTAAAATCCTAAACTCTTTGAGGTTTGCTTATTTAAGAGACACCTGTCTTCTTATAAATCTTTCTATGCGTTAGGATCTTTTAGGACTGGTCTCATGAGAATGCCATTATTTGATACATAGGAAAAAGCTTTCTCCTGAATTGCTGCTGCAGTGTAGTATACGCTCTTACGAGGTATGATTAGTTCCCACTCATGCTCATTTTAGGTTCTGAAGACATCTCTCTGGTGTTAGGTTTGAAGATATATCTTTTCAGTCTGGTCATTAAGCAGTTTTGTTATTTATTGATTATTCTGAAAATTTATTTATTATAATTTACTTTATTTTTACTGACATTTGTTAGCAGCTCTAGTGGAAAGACAGGATAAAAATGTAGTGGTGACTAAAAACATTTCTGCAGGTTTTCTTTTCTGAAAGTCAAAATAAATACTGTTTTGCTCTCTATCAAGAATGTTTCTCATTCTCTCTCTGTTCCTTTATTTTAGGCTATTGCTGAAGAAGGAGTGAGCGTTCTTGTTCACTGTTCTGATGGGTGGGACCGGACAGCTCAGGTTTGCTCTGTGGCGAGCCTTCTGCTAGATCCGTATTACCGTACTATGAAAGGGTTTATGGTAAGATTGCTTGCTTTACAGAGAAAATGCAGGAAATGATGTTCTTCATAATTAACTAAATTAATAAAGAGGCTGCTTTGTAATATTGGAGCATAATTAGAGAATGATTAAAGTGGTCTGAGTATCCAGCTGGCTGGTGCTGCGCTTGTCTAACAGCAACTTTCCATGTTATCAGAGCCCGGTGTAGTGTCTGTGGTCTGTATCATTAAGCACATCCCTAATTTTGTCATTGTGTGGAAGAACTGTAGATAGACACTTGATAAAGACCTGGTAGGAATAGGTATGGGGGAGAGGAATTAAAGGCTCTAGACTATATCAGACCTTTGAAAAGTTACGTTTTTGGTCTATAGGTACCCAAATCCACCAACCGGCTATGACTACCAGGAATTCTGGGATTTGTAGTCCAGAAAGAAGCCTTCGATGCATTGCCCAGACTATATCAGACTTTTATTTTCCTTGGAAACACAAAACACCTTAACTACCAGGTTGTGCAGTCATGGGCATAGGAAGGAATTGTTTTTGAGAGGCTAGAGGTGCTCGGTCATCTTTCCTTCCTTGAAGGCTTTGACATTTTTCAAATCACTGGTTAGTTTATACCATCAGAGACAGAGTAGTTACATAGAATTGGGCATAGAACTTGTCCGGCTATGAATTACTGTTTTAAATTAACTTTAGTGCCCCAAATGTTGCGGTGCTCCATGGTATTGTAGGGCATTTAAAATATTGGCTGAAATAATGTTGCTTAGTGTAGTAAGTTGCACCTAGAGTCGACCCGTTGAATCTGCAGGGATGGACCTCCCCTACTTGTGACTCAATATGTTAAGCAACAGGATTTCAGCCATTGTCCCTCAAAGCCCTGGAATGGATGGGACAAGGCAAGGAGCTGTGCATCAGCCTTGAATTACATTGTGTTGAATCCTTTTGTTGGCTAGCCATAGGGAACAGGAGCATAGATTGCATTTTAAATCAGTTTTGTACAACTCTTTTGAAACTGAGAGTGGCATCTAGGGAAGATGGTAGCACATAAGCATGCATGCATCCTTCCCATTCTAACCAGTTAGGACATTTTCCCACCAAGTGTACAGATTGTAACTTGATACTCTGCAGGACGCAGGTTCCTCCAGCAGCAAGTCTTGAACCAAGGGGCAACAGGCATCCAAAGCACAGCTCAGTCACTGCATGCCTATTCAGATCTAAGTCCCAATGCAGCGTGTTTCAGACATGTAAAACACAACTCAGTTCTGTACATATCTGCTCAGGTGTAAGCTCCAGGACAAGAACTTCCATGCATGCAAAATACAGCTCGAGACATTGAAAAAGGATCCGTACATATCTGCTCAGGTGTAAGCTCCAGGGCAAGAACTTCCATGCATGCAAAATACTGCTTAAGACACTGAAAAAGGAAAAAGGATCTAACTTTATATTATTTGATAGTTAAAATAAAAATATTCAAAGACCAGCATTTATGTTACATGCCTTTAAATTGCTCTTATTGCCAACTCTCCTCCCCAGCTTGAGTCTGGATCCAGCTTGAGTCTGGATGCCAGAGCTATCTACACTGTCAGTAAAGATACGTCTGTTGGTTTTAAAAGATACGTGGTTTTCATTGGATGGTATTTATATACACCTTTCTCATTTTAGGTATTAATTGATAAAGACTGGGTTTCATTTGGTCATAAATTTAATCACAGGTAAGCACGGTTTGACATATTGCAAGTTAAAGCAATGGTACCCAGTTGAATACAATCTTCTTTGTTGTTGCCAGAAGTCAAATGAATATTTGAATAGTGTCCATAGTACCTGTGAGCCACACCAGATATTTTGACCAGCAACTCCCATAATTATGTGCTGTCAACTATGCTGGTAATGATTGGGTGTTTGGCTTAGGCCCAAACATCTGACTCTGAGCTGCACCTTCCATAACTGTGATTTCTTTATGAGTGGCTATTTTTTAATTTTTTTTCTTTTTTCATATATTTCTGTACTCTTCTTCCCTCCCACCCTTCATTTCCCATTCTTCATAGCAGAGGCCTATCCAAATTCTTATCAGGGTTTCCTGGGAAAATTATAGTCACATTCCAAGTATATTACAAAGACCATTAAATCGTGTATGCATCAGGGAATCCCTTATTATCTGTTTCATTCATAAAACCAATAAAAGGATGTCACTCAATTGCGAAATAATCAAAATGTCTTACCCCTTTAGCTGTATTCAATTTGGTGGTTATTTTTGTCCGTCAATGCTACCTGCCATACTTAGAGCAGCCATTCTCAAGGGGGGGGAAATATGGCCCTCTGGGCCCCCTGGCATATTTGAAGGGGGCCACAGACTGGAAACAATTATTTTTTTAAAAATAATATTTTATTAGTTTTTCAATCTATCTAGATTCAGTTCGTGCCTGTTAAACATGGTGTCACATAGGTTGCTTATAATTATTTGTTTTTGCATCTTGGTATCTTCTTGGTTGTCCCTTCAAAATCTTTACATTTTTTAAAGACTGAACCAATCATGTATATATTTTAGTGTACAATATTGGCTACTATCATAATATTGCTTTTGTCAACACTGTAAATAGCTATCAATAGCTGTAGCTGTAACATAACCAGTTTAACTCCAGAGTTGTTTAATAATTTTACGAGAAAGATTTCTTAAGTTTCTAATGCCAGAGTAGTATCAAACTTCCTTCCTTGAAGTATAATGTCTAATTAGTGCCTAATTTATTTTCTTTGCTTCTCTTCGAGTCTCTTCCTCTCTCCAGATTCACCACTGCTCTTTAAGTGGTGAGGCGAAGAGACACTTTTCTGTTGTAGGGATTGTCTCGTCCAGGGATGGTCATAAAATAGAATAGTTATAAATATTTCTCACCCAGTGATAACAATGTTAATTAGCTGGTTTATCGCTTCTCAGTTGCCGGCTGCCAACGACTTGCAAGCGAGCTTTTCAGCTGCTTGTTTCCGCCTACTGGTTGATTGGGGAATTTCCTGGATCCAACAGGTGGAACTGCCATTGCCCCCGTGATCAACAGGCATCTCCCCCATTTCACCAACTCTTTGGGGTGGTTTTAACCCCCTTGCGGGGTCCCAAACAGGTCGGAATTCAGCCCAGGGGATAGAGCTCTGTCCTTCTACTGCTGTCTCGTTGCAGCGTCGAGCCGGAAGTCCTCAGACTGGAAACAATTCTTTATAAGGTTCATTATGTGACTTATGCAATCCTGATTTGACCTATATTTCTTTCATATGGTGTTTACAGGTAAAGGTAAAGGTTCCCCTTGACATTTTTAGTCAGTTGTGTTCGACTCTAGGGGCGGTGCTCATATCCGTTTCCAAGCCGTAGTGCCAACGTTTGTCCAAAGACAGTTTCCGTTGTCACGTGGCTAGCGCGGCTATACACGGAGCGCTGTTTACCCTTCCACCAAAATGGTACCTATTTATCTACCCGCATTTACATGCTTTCGAACTGCTAGGTTGGCGAGGAGCTGCGCCAAAGCGATGGGAGCTCACTCTGTTGCGTGGATTCAATCTTATGACTGCTGGTCTTCTGACCCTGCAGCACGCAAAGGCTTCTGTGGTTTAGCCTGCAGTGCCACCACGTCCCTGGTGTTTATAGCCATGGCTTAAAAAAGGCTGAGAATGGCTGTCCTAGAATAGCATGCTGTGATTGATACTCTCTATACAAGAGCTTCATGAGTGATTGTATTAGGAAATGTATATTTTTTTTACTTGCAACTACAGTGGTGCCTCGCATAACAAGCGCCCCGTTTAATGACGAATCTGCATAGCGATGCGGATTTAGCGATCGCAAAAGCGATTGCATTGCGATGATTCTAATGGGCGAAAATCGCATTGTGATGATTGGTAATCGTTTCGCTTAATGATCTTCGCGTTGCGATGTTTGCAGAACAGCTGATTGGCTGTTCCAAAATGGCCGCCGGATGAAGAAAATGGCCACCCACAGCATTTTCGCACCAATTCCTCGCTCACCGAGGTGGCGAAAATGGTGACCGTATGGGGAATCTTCGTATAACGGTGAGTTTTGTCCCCATAGGAACGCATTAAACAGGGTTTAATGCGTTCCTATGGTTTTTTTTGCCCCGTATAGTGACGTTTCCGGATAGCGATGATTTATCCGGAACGGATTATCGTCGCTATGCAGGGCACCATTGTATTATTAGCTCTGCACTGCTAGGAGTAATCCCAAGCTATCTTTAAAAAGAGAGAAAGAAATATAAGATTGATGTTTGGGACTGGATTTGCTATGATGCAAACCCCTGTACAGATCAAATGTTATGAATTATTTTCTATTTTATTTTCTTTGTTTAGGTATGGCAATCTGGATGGAGACCCAAAAGAGATATCTCCAGTCATTGATCAATTCATTGAGTGTGTTTGGCAACTTATGGAACAATTTCCTTGTGCCTTTGAATTCAATGAAAGGTTCCTGATCCACATACAACATCATGTCTATTCCTGCCAGTTTGGGAACTTCCTGTGCAACAATCAGAAGGAAAGAAGTGAGCTGAAGTAAGGCAGGCTTACCTCTCACTATGTGTATATAATATACCATTCACCCATTTGCAGTTGTATTTCATTTCCATGAATGGGAGGGTGAACAGCGCCACTCTTAAAAGCACAAACATTTTGGTGACCCTCTCTCTCTCTCTCTCTCTCTTTTATTGGCCACAGTCCTGGTCGCATAAGGTTTGCATAATTTATACAGCTGTTGTTATTACATGCTGTCAAGTTGCCTCTGACTTTGGTGACCCTATGAATGAATGATATCCTTAATGTCCTGTCCTCAACAGCCCTGCTCATCCTTGTAAACTCAAGGCTGTGGGTTCCTTTAGGTCGGGCGTATTTGCATCTCATATTTGTTCTTCTCCGCTCCTCCTGCCTTCAACTTTTCCCTGCATAATTGTCTTCTAATGAATCTTGTCTTCTCATGATGTACCCAAAGTCAGAGCTAATGGTGGCAAATTGATCAGGTGCTGGGGATTGTGTGCCTGGTCATGCATCAGATTGTGCAACCAAAGAAAATTACACAAATCTTGCACAAATATAGGATTCCAATCAAAGATTTACACAGAACAAATCTTGGAAGCAACAAGTTGAAAGTAACACCATTCCCTGTTAGTTTTTATTTAAGCATGTGGTGACATTCTTTTTATTAAGCAATGTAACAACTTGTGACATCATTATGTTTTCTGGCTGTAAGGAGAAATGCTTACTTATTCTAAAGCAGTTATGGAGAATCAATGCATTTTTAGTATTTTGTGTTAGGAGAGGTTTTGTGAGTACCTGCTGCACATGTCCAGACGAAGAAACCATTTTTATAAGGAATTAAAAAATAATAATACTTTCAAGTGGCTTTGGGACCTTGAAAGTACAGTGGGCCCTCTACTTACGAACTTAATCCGTTCCGGAAGGAAGTTTGTAAGTCAAAAGGTTTGTAAGTCGAATCAGCATTTCCCATGGGAATGCACTGAAAACCATTTAATCCGTTCCGGCTGTTTTTGGTTCTTAAGTCGAGCAGCGCTTTGTAACTCAAATCATTAGTTCCCATAGGAACTAATGCAAAGCTGCTTAATCCGTTCCTACCATTTTGTTGTTGTTTAGTCGTTTAGTCGTGTCCGACTCTTCGTGACCCCATGGACCAGAGCACCCCTCCGATCTTCCACTGTCTCCCGGAGGTCTGTCAATTTCATGTTGGTTGCTTCGCAGACACTGTCCAGCCATCTCCTTTCCTAAAAGGAAAAAAAAAAGAAAAAAAAGAGAAAAATATCCTACCACTAGGGGCAGAATATTTTTCTTAATTTTTTTTTTCCTTTTAACCTAAGATGACTTAGGTTAAAAAAAGGAAAGAAAGGGGGGAGGGAAGGAGAGAACAGACGCCTTTGCAATAGAACACCTTGAAAAGCACATTTTCAGCCAAGACAAGCCAAGACAACCAGAGGGCAGCAAAGGAGAGAGGGAACAAACACCTTTCAGACAACAGAACACCTTGAAAAACACTCCTCAGCACAAAGAGAGACATGGCTCTGAACTCCATTTTTAACCTGCTTGCAAGCAAGCTTTCTTCCCAGCAGAATCCACATTTTAACTAGACAGATTCAGATTACCCCCCACCTGAGACACACACAGCAGGGAAAGATTCCAGTAAGCATGCAGACATTTTAAAACTGTAAAATCTACCCAGCAAGACCCATCAGAGCTCAGAACCCCCCACCTAGCCCTACCCCCCAACCAACAAGCTGCAAAAAACCCTGTACAGTAAAGTAAAAACATAGTGTACTCACCCAGAACAGGCAGTCTCTCTGCTTAAAAAAAGAATGTCAATAATAAAATATCCAATTTTTAAAAAAACATCCAAAAATTTTAGAATACCATACTGTACTGTCCGTACAGCACTGTACCAGTACCAGGCAGTCTGAAGACTGTCCCTTTATCCACTCTGTAAATGCTGGGAAGAGCGAGGAAGCAGACAAGCACCCTCTTTGCTGGCCAACGGTTAACTAAAAGTTCAAATTTCGCGCTTTCCCCACCTCCCACGCAGTTTTTTTTTGTTCGTAACTCAAACACACGTTCGTAAGTACGGCCCACTGTTTTCTATGAGATCGGGTTCGTAACTCTGACACACGCTTGTAAGTAGGGCCTGCTGTTTTCTATGCAATCAGGTTCGTAACCCAAAGCGTTAGTAACTAGGGCCATTCATAAGTCGAGGGCCCACTGTACCCAGGAGCCACCTGTGGCCCCATCCCTGCTATGTATGTTTTCTTTATTGGCCTATATGGGCAATTCAGTGTACTTTCTCCATTCAAAACAGGGAGGTTCATTTACCCCTTTAGAGAAAAGAGAACTTATCCAGGAACAATTAAATTCCAAGCATTCTAAAATACATACCTGTTTTTGTAACATACTTGCATCTATGCATTTGGGATGGATATGGGCAATGGTGTGCCTCATGGACTCTTCTTTTACATTACAGGGTTCAAGAACGGACATATTCACTTTGGGCTCACTTGTGGAAAAATCGAGCTGATTATGTGAACCCTCTGTACAGAGAAGACTATAACAGAACCCTACATCCCCAGTCCACTCCCTGCCATTTTATCTACAAGTGAGTCACATCCATGGCACTGGCAGTTTTCAGGAGGAAAATATTGGGACAAAATGTCACAATGTCATTTTCTTGGTTTTGTTCTAGCATATAAATAAATAATGTTAGGACCTGTGCACTATAAGAGTTATTTCATACATTGAGATTATAGAGTACTTGTGTTTTGGATATTGGGTTGTTCCTGAAAGTAACACTGAGGCCCAATCCACAAAGAAATTCTGTTTAGAAAAACTGTTCAGCAATCACTTGTTCCCATCCGTGTCACTGGCACACAATTTTGTTCATGCAGCAATTAATCTACAGTGGGACATTCAATATATTCCATGTCCTTATTATTGAAGAAGTTGACCAAAGTAAGACAATGATACATTCTAATTTGTTTCACCGAGAGGTAATTTATTTCAAGACATGGATGGCCCTGGCTTCTAGTATTAAGATGAGAGAGAGAGCTCTTTCTGTTTTTTCAGCTGTATGCATAATTTTGTAAACTTGTACAAATTTCCTTTTTCTAAGCCTCAAAGTTCAGTTATGGCCATTCCTCTTTCTCTTATTCACACACATACCATGTTTAAATAATGTATTGTATTGCTAAAATGTGGAATTCTACTGCATTAAGTACTACCATGGCAATATCTGCTTTTGAAAATTAATTTTAAGCTAACTGCACCTTTTGAAAGTGAATCTGAAGTCTACAGATTCGGGAACAGGAGGGGGTGGTTATCTTTAGAATGTCTAATGTTACAGAGGCTCTTAAAATAGCTTCCCAAGTCTTTTCTAGACAGCTCTAGTCTGAATCCATGTCTGTTACTTAACCCAGCCACTGACCTGCTTATGTGCACTCAATCAACCTGTGACCACATATAAGCAGAGGAACTCAGCAGATCATTCTCACCATCAGCCACGCTGTCCACCACATGCCTCACAATTTACGTACTTACACATCCCCTGCTTCTCGGAAATTTATTTGCAGGTTAAATGGGGAAGGGTTATGCAGCTGTGATCTAGGACAAGCAACAGTAGGCAACTATGGGTCAGCGAGATACAAAAAAGCATTGGCTTGTGGAACTGGCTGTTCCTTCCTCTTGGAAAATTGCTGAGGGTGGATGGCTCATATGTCTACTACCAGACGTCTGCCACAGAGCTGCTTCACTCATTGGATGGGGACACTCTTGTATTTTGTCCTGGCTTCAATGCCTGTGTTCATTTTGTAAAGCTACAGGGGAAAAATGCAAAATGTTTCTCTTTACTCACTGCAAATGTTGCAACTAGTTGGATATAAATTTCCTTCCTAAAGTGTATTGCAGCAGTACTACTTGGATATAGCAAGACGGGAAACTTAGTTACTGCCTTAAATCTGTGTTTTTTATGTTTCCATATGAAACAGTCTTAAACTACAAGAATCTACATAGAAATATTCATTTTTTTGACAACTTAAATATGGAGTCCCGTGTTAGTCCTTAGGTTCAGGCGGGTATTCAGGCTGCAACCCTATACCTTAGAAGTAATAGAGTTTGATGGGACTTATGGCTAAGTAGATGTTGAGAGTTGCTTTGTGAGTCTTACATCTTTATGTGCATTCCCAATTTATTTCCTAGGTTCTGGTGTGGAATGTACAACCGCTTTGAAAAAGGACTGCATCCTCGCCAGTCTGTTACTGACTACCTGATGGCAGTCAAAGAAGAAACACAGCAGATGGAAGAAGAGCTAGTAATCCTGGAAGAGGTAGAGGCTCTTGGTTTCATGAAGTAATTTTGTTGCCCAGCCTCAATCTAGCTTTAGATGGATGTGCTATGAGCACTAGGTTGGGTATGTCTGTGTGACCATCACCCTCTGAATCAGTAGATGCTTCTATCAAGTTTAATGAGGCCCATGAGCATCACCAATATTTGGGCATAGATTTGCATCAGTTCTCCAGGTCGCCTATTCTAAGCTGGGTCACCAGTACAACTTAGTTAATGTGATGGATTTTGGGAGGAAGTTGTTATTATTTTTGTCGTCTTTGACCAGGACATGTGTCTGCTTTTGCTGACAGTGGTAGAAGGTGAGAGTGGTACCACTTATTAATGTCACTTATTAATGCTTCAAATCAGAGTTAAGAAGGTTAGTTTCTTAAAAGACTTGTTCCATTTACCTGCTACATTGGATCGATAGGAGATACCTTACCCTTTCTGCAAAAGGAACTAGTTTGCAAAAGTAACTAGTTTGATCCCTTGTTACTAATGGCTCTCTGTTAATGATGCAGCCTTTGGTACCTGAAAATCTGCACTGGTATCCTCAAGTGGCCACTTCCATTTATTGCACATTGAAAATGGCATGAAAAACACCTTGCAAAGCCTGTCTTGGTACCTTCTTCCCAGATGATTTTAATTACAGCCTTCACCTCACATTATCCAATTGGATACAGGATGGGATTTGTAGTTTAATAGATAAAAAAAGAGCCAGATTGGCTAGAATTCTATAGACTCAGAAAGTTGCAGGAACAGCACTTTAGTACCAGGGAACGAAGCTTTATTGATTTCTAACGAAATATGCACAAAAATATTCTGTGAACTGTGAACCAATGATAAAAAAATTCCACAATTCAGTTGTCACTTCTGTCATGAACTCACTAGATAACTTTGAGCAAAGCAGGATTTGTTAGCCTTAATTAATTTTAAAAAGAGTGGAAGAAAAAGTGAGAAGTTTGGAGCAAGTGGCAATGCTTAAGGTTATAAGAGAAGATGAAGAATAAATAGATAGCACTCTTGAGCAGCAGCAGCCAAGGAAGGCACTGGAAGTGGAAGAACAGTAAGACAAAGCAGAGGAGGAGAATGATGAGGAGAAAACAGACATAGTGGAGGAAGCACTGTGGAAAAGAGTCACAGTTAGGAGCAGAAGAAAAAGAAGACAGAGGCCAACCTCCTCCTCCATCCTCCTGATACTTAGAAGAGGAATAGAAAGGGAAAGGAAAGGATGCCAATGTGAGAAGTTTTGTTTTTGGGACCACGGGCTATTCTTCCTAGAAGATGGATTGATGGGTTATACAGTGGTGCCTCGCAAGACAATGTTAATTTGTTCCGCGAAAATCACTGTTAAACAAAAACAGCCTCCCTCAACAGGTCATCCAGCAGTGTGACCAGTGCCGTTTCTGTACTGTGGCGCGGCCTGAAGCCCAACTGAAATGGGTCCAGGGCATTGGTTTCATCCAAAAGAGCCTGCAGCTGATTGGCCACCACCCTCTCCACCACTTTGCTTAGGAAAGAAACATTGGTGACGGGCCTATAGTTGCCAATGTTGTCCCCCGCCAAATTTGGTTTCTTCTTAAGGGGCCTAATGAGTGTCTCCTTGAGGGCAGGAGGAACCTTGCCCTCAAGGAGAGACCCATTAATTATCGCAGTGGCCCATTTGGTTGTTCTAGGCCTGGCTGCTTTGATTAGCCAGGCCGGGCAAGGGGCAAGGGAGGAGGTGGTGGCCCGACAGCGATCAAGCGCTTTGTCCACCAAATCTGGCATCACGGTGTGAAAGTCACCTTGCCGACAAAGGTCCACATAGTCAAAGCTATGGTTTTTCCAGTAGCGATGTATGGAAGTGAGAGCTGAACTATAAAGAGGGCTGACTGCTGAAGAATTGATGCTTTTGAATTGTAGTGCCTGAGGAGACTCTTGAGAGTCCCCTGGACTGCAAGGAGATCAAACCTCTCCATTCTGGAAATCAAGCCTGAGTGCTCACCGGAAGGACAGATCCTGAAGCTGAGGCTCTAATACTTTGGCCAGCTTATGAGAAGAGAAGACTTTATTTATTGATTGATTGATTTATTGTATTTATACCCCGCCTATCTAGTCATTTTGACCACTCTAGGCGGCTTCCTGCGAAAGACCCTGATGTTGGGAAAGTGTGAAGGCAAGAGGAGAAGGGGACGACAGAGGATGAGATTGTTGGAGAGTGTCATCGAAGCTACCAACATGAATTTAACTGAACTCCAGGAGGGTGGAAGACAGGAGGGCCTGGCGTGCTCTGATTCATGGGGTCATGAAGAGTCGGACGCAACTTAATGACTAAACAACAACAACAATTTCCAAATAATGTGAAATACTAGTTTTTCTCTGTCACTTTTTAGGGCACATCTTGAATACTCTGTCCACTTCTGGACACCACTTTAAGAAAAATACCAACAAACTGGAACACATTCAGAGGAGGGCAGGAAGGATGATCAGGGGACTGGAAACCAATCCCTATGAAGCAAGGCTGAAAGATTTGGACATGTTTAGCCTTGGCAAAAGTAGACTGAGGACAGATATGATAGCACTTTTCAAATATTTGAAAGGTTGTCATACATAGGAGGCACAGGATCTGTTCTCAGTCATTCCAGAAAGCAGGACATGAGCTCAAGCTACAGGAAGCCAGATTTCAGGAATATCAGGAAAAATGTCCTGTTAGAGCAGTCTGACAATGGAACCAATTACCTCAGGGTGCGATGGAAGCATTTGAAAGAAAATTAAATAACCATCTGTCAGATATACTTTGATTTGGATTCCTGCAATGAGCAGAGTTTTGGGCTCTGTGGCTTTATAGGCCCCTTCCAACTCCATTGTTCTATGATTCCATGATTTATTACATGTATATACATGTATATTAGGTCAAAGCAGATAATATGTCTCCCTCCTCTCTATTTATCCTCACAACAAACCTCCTAGGTATGTCAGCCTGAAACAGAGAGAATGTGTGTCTTCTGTTGCTCTGCTTTGTGGCTCAGCAAAGATCCCTGAAATCTCGGTCCCATATTCTAATCACTGTACTATACTGATTTTGTCTGAAGAATTCCTATGTGCTTAAGATCCCTATTATAAGCCAAAATTCAACAGGTGGAGTTCCCTCAGTTACAGCTACAACCCACTAAGACAAGGGGCTAAGATTGTAAATGGAAAAAGGAATAGGTGAGCTCATACAAAACAGTAATAATTATGTTGTTAGAGTGATACAAGAAAACAGTCTTTAGCCTCTTTCAGTGACTGCATTCCTGTACTCCTTTAAATGTTCATAAAACAAAATCCACAGATGGGCAAGAATACTTGTATTTAAATCAATTATAAATCCACAAAAGTGTGCAGGATCTTCTGTTCTCCATATTTTTTCATCAGGTGAGAAAATAAAGAATTAGGAATTTGGGGAAGGAGGCATGGAAATCCACAAATGTTGGCTAGATGATTGAAGCCATTATGGTCTATAATTGTACTCTGTCCCAAGGCAAAAACAGTGGGCTTCATGAGGCATTGAAAAATATGCAGGTTATCATATGAGATCTAGCAAAACCAAGTCAAAAGAAAACAATAGGGTGGTTCCCCTTAGAAAGAATAGATGCCACAGGAGAGCGAGAGAAAAAAGTTTTTTAAAACCGTTTATTTTGTCTTCCCAATCATAGTTTTAGAACTCTCCATTTTGATACAATGCTATCTTGGTTGACCTGGAGCATGGGGGTTGTTTCTAAGTTACAAGATATTTGAAAGAAGACATTTTCTAGCCTTTTTGCGTAGAAAAAGTAGGAACAGGGAGGCTCCTCCAAATAAATAAATAAATAAATAAATAATAAATAAATAAATAAATAAATCATCATCATCATCATCATCATCATCATCATCATCATCTAGCAATCTAAACATCTCGCTTGTGGATGAAACACACTTCACTGGTCCCCATAGTCCTTGAGGCTTTGGAAACAATATCAAGAAATTTCACACAGTATTATGAGCAGTTGCAGATCTCAGAAATAACACCATCAGTGCTACAAAAATGCCAATATTAGGAACAACATACTGCACCGATATTTAACAGATACTTATGTTTTTGGTTAAAACGTCTTTTATATAATACCAATCAATGTTTTTATAATTTTGATTGACTGTGCCTGGGATATAACAAAAACAACAACAATGACAACAACTTAGAATTTTTAATATCTTTCCAACCCAACCCATGTTATTGCAGGTGTGTTCCTACTAGTGCATATATCAACTATTAATATGATTGTGTACAGGCTAATGGAATGAATGGATTTCTTGTTTCTTATTTCGCAGAGACTGGCAAAGCTTACAAAATTCCAATTAAATAATGGCGAGGCAAAACCAAAACAACAGAATGGAAGCAATGACTTTGGACACACTACATCTAACGACAGCATAGCCAACACTCCCCAGGATTATACAGGCAACCTGAAATCTTTCCCTTCTCGAAGTCCTTCACAGGGAGATGAAGAAGACTCTGCTCTGATTCTTACACAAGATAACCTGAAAAGCTCAGATCCTGATCTTTCGGCCAACAGTGATCAGGAATCTGGGGTAGAGGATATGAGCTGTAGGTCCCCAAATGGAAGGGGATGTTTGCTCAGCAAGGGTAACATGAAAGACTGTGATTTGGATGAAGCTGTTTGTCTCACCGTCTGAAACATCTGCTGGTCAGTTGGTGATAAAAGACTGTCCGTGAAAAAAGTCCAAAGAAAGGAAGCTGTGCACTTAAAAAGTCCAGATGTAATCTCATTGTAAGCAAGAATGTTAAATGGGAAGAAATATCTCGTTCATTTATTTAATTGATCATACATATCCTAATTGATTTGTTTCATCTGCCATCATTAGTTTACAGGACCTTATAGCATGCACATTTTACATTTAGCATATACAGTATGTATTTATTGATACATACTTAGTTAGCCAATCTACTACCTTTACAAAGACACTTCGAAATAATTTATTTGTGTAAACCATGAAAAAAGGAAACAAACTCTAAAACCAAGATACTTCTTGCTCCCCAATATGAAAATTAAAAAAATGGTAGAAGTAAATGATTAGAACAGACTTTCCTCCTTGTTTTGAAGACAGTTGTTGAAAAACGTAGACCTTGCCATTTGTGTATTTAAAATATTTCTGGAAAAAGGAGAAGTTCATTAATTTAAGATAAATATTGAACACATTCAGAAAATTAATAAAATCAGCTTCCAAGGTATAGTAAATTAATTTACTCTGTATATGAGTGTGAGTAGGACCATAGGGCACTTCTATATTACTGTATCAGCATGCCTCCATTTTATACCAGTTTTAGATCTCAATTTAAATTTCCCCCAATTAAATACTGTAACAGATGGATAAATATGGTGATGCTCCCAGTTTCTGCATTTCAAACCATCCATCTGCCACAGTGTGTCTGATGGAAATATTTTCACATCCCCAGAAGTTACTTGTAATAGCCCAGACATACAGTCAGTCATTGCCATGAAGGGAGTACCTCTGTTTGGTTTGGGGTTCTATAGACTAGTAGCATTATTTGAAATGAGGACTCTCAAGAACTAAAGTGTCTCTTCAGGAAGTGCTTTACTTTAAAATAGTATACCAAAACGCACACTTTGAACTGCATAGCACACTGTCACAAAATTTAGCAAGTTCCTAAAGTGCCGTTCCCAAAACTGAAAGTGCAAATCACACTGGAAACAAAAGCCCAATGGAAGAGTTCTAATCCTGTGTGTGGCTAGAATTATGTGACAGTGGAACCTAGATTGCCAGCAGCCCCTCCCCCAGAAGCTGGAGGATGTGTTTCTGTTGGAGGGAGCTTTCTGTGTTGCTGCAGGATCCTTGCATGATTGAGAATCCTCGGACATCTGAACTCTCCAGGACAATGCTACACAAGTAGATTGGCCTCTACTTCATCCACCCTCCAACTCAAGGAAGGCAACAGGAATGGTGACAGAGAGTGCAGTGCTAACATCCTTGTTCTGCCCTGCTTCATGGAAGTTCAACATGGGGGAGACGACCATTGTAAACAGGGCTACAGGGAATGTGGTGTAGTTGTTCAAAAGTACTGGATTGGAATCTGAATGATCTACAGTCCATTTGCTACTCAGTCATGAGCCCACTTGGGTGACCTTGGGCCAGTCATCTAACCTACTTCATTTTGTAAGGATAATTGGAGTGGGTAAAAAGTTGTGTTTCCTGCCTTAATTTTGTTGAATAAAGGGTGAAATATATTTGATTAAAATGCAGTTACAGGCAAGTCAGGAGGTTCTTGTAAAGGAAACCTATCCGTTGTCCATTTCCCCCATATTTATGTTTCTTTTTTCTCATGAGTTTGCAAGAGATCATAGACCAAAATATCTTTTGATCACTGCTTTTACCAAATATACGATTTTTCAAGTCCAAGTCACAATCCAAGCATATGTCCTTCTGTTTGAAATTTCATGTCTCTTTCTTTGGATCGTATATAACTTTTTAGAACTGGAGAAGTTTTTCAGTTTTCATGAAATTATTGTTAGCTAACCAGCATCCTCCAGTGACTTCCATTTTAATGTAAGCGATTGTTACTTCTCCTGAGTTTAGATGGATAAAATGTCTCATCTTACCAGCAAATGCTGAACTGGCACAAAATAGCTAGCTAAAAAAGGACAAGGTAAAAAAAGCAGAAACAGAAGGTCAGGGTTAATAAGAAATTTGCTTGAGAGTCGGAAAGTGAATGAAACTGAATCAGACTTTATTTCAGTGGGTGAAAACCAATTTATGGAATGCATCCATGAGAAATAATGGCAAGAGGGTGGTTTCCATCTTCCTGCTACTTCCCCATGTTTTCTGTTGGGGCATTCCATGCTTTAGTATAGCATGCGAGGTTGTAGGAGGCAGTGCAACCACCTAAAAATACTCCCTACCCCTTCTGAGGATGGATGCAGTCCATCAGTGGGGCAACATCAGTTGGATACTATCTGCTATCCATGTCACAGGAGCATGGGGGCACCCTCACATCTGCTGTGGGTTATACCAGTCTTTCTTGGTAAAATCGTAAGTCACCAAGAGATAAATTATCTTGTCTTCTCCACCTCCCCCAGTTTGTGGTGGGCACACCTCATTTATAAAAGAATCATGTCTACTGAAAGTGTGCTTTTGGTGTTTTGCAGTGAGAGCGAAGAGTTCCAAGGGTCACAAAAACACCCTTCAAAATGCACGTTTTTGTGATTTCAGACCAAACAAATGCACTCTTAACTCTTCTTCTTTTAAAAGCATACTCTTTATTGAATCAGTTCCCCCTTTCAGACTCTCCACTTCATATACAGAGCTTCCTTTCATGGAAGTACTGTTGTGACTACTTGATGTAACACGATCATCACTTTGTCACATCCGGATATAAAGCAGTGCTATGTATAGTTCTGCCATCCACATATTGGTGGAGGAAGCAAGAAATGTATAGAATGTGGTTTACTTAAGGTTCGGCCTGTGTACTGAAGGAGAATGGAATGAGGTGGCATGGTCATATCTTGGAAAGGATTGTGATATACTTTCTAGAGAAAAGTGTGTGGTGCAAGTCTATCCCATAGCACAGAAACTGAGAGATGGGGACCTGTTAGCCTCTTTATGTTCTTCCACAGGCACATGGCCTCTCACTGGCCCCACTCTGGGTATTGATAATATTTCCTTAGTCTTACCCTGGACGGAGTGTAATTATTTTGCTAAGTTGTGGAAGGAATTTGTTCTTAGTGCATGCTGAATAAGAGTCTAATTATTGAGACTTTGGCCAAGCCCACTGCTGGAATATGGACCCCAACGAATTTCAACTGAAGTAATGCAAAGCTTAACTAGAAAAAGGTTCTTCATCCCCACAGGAGGTTACAGAAAGAATAAGGTTCTTCATTCCTGGGAAGGGGTACAAAAGGGCAGAAAATGCCACAGCAGCTCCCCAGCAGGTAAAGGAAGAGAAGAAAGAGAATAATGGGGAGCAGAAACCAGGATGGGTTTGGATTTACCTTATTTTGGAAGATGTGGTATGTAACAAAACAAACCTCTCTCAGTGATACGTTGGTAGGTAACAGACTGAAATTTCAGTGGCCATTCAGGAAGGTTTTGGAAAAGCAGCAAGAGGGATGTGAGCCCAGAAATGCCTGCATCTGAGGGGACAAGGTGTACAGAAGCAACTTATGCCTATAAATGCCTTTTGCTGGATTACAGTGCATGCATTCATAGCTCTCCACTACATGTATTACTGGGAATGTTAAAAGCACTGCTGTTCAGAATTTTAGGATCCTTATCCTTCAGATAGAGCTTTCAATTTCAGTTGGAAACATACCCTTAGCATTTTACAAATCGGCACCAAGTCTGCTTTGTACATGATGCTATTGTACATCAGACTGCATGTATCAGTGCAACAGACTGTGGCATCAATGCATTATCATAGAAGGCACTCTTTCAGAGGGACGTTAGGATTTAAGTATACCCTGATATTTCCTGGTTTCTCTACAGAGGTTTACACTGCACTTGCTAACTATCTTGTAGAAACAGCACACCTTGGGTGAGGCGTCTTCTATATAAATCTAGTTCAACACGTTAACTGAAGGATATGTACTGGATTCTAATTTTCGCCAGCAAGAAGAAAAATGACATCATCACCCTAGCCGAGTCTGCCATTTTTTTTTTGGCAATTTCTTTATATAATTGCTGCTGTCCACTTGTTGTAGAAAAATAAAATAAAATAAAGGTCTTTATTTGGTTTGGAGGCAAAGTGTGCCACCACCTGGCATGCTCCAAACATTGGTGAAACATGTCCATGAACACGCCACTGCCATAATTTATGGAGTAAATTACACTGCTGTAATTTATGGAGAATGCCTCTTGAAACTCCATATAAATGTCATTTTTATATGAAACTATGTGTCTCATTTTAATTTAATTTACATTTTTAAAAATTTAACAGCCAGATTTTAATAGTACAAATGCGTTCAAACTTTAGAAATATAGCCAGTAGTGTATACAGCACCCAACATACCTTCTGAATTTGTTTTCTGGAGAAAAAAGAATGCTAGGAAAACTTAGATCAATGAGAAAACTGTGATATGAGAGAGACTTCTATGTAAGGTATCAGTGGATTATCTTTAGGTAAAAATTTCTGGCAATCAAATTTATACAAATGTAACACTATACTGTACACTATATTATACTGTCTGCACTTTTGAAAATCTAGGAATCAAACCTGGAAAATGTTTAGCAAAATTTGTGCACTGTGTTTGAGACTTCTAGCTTTATTGATCAATTCCTGGCAGTTTCACTTGGAGTGCCATCCTCTTTGGTTTAGATGTTACAGTTTGTACTGTATTATACAATGTTGTAATACCTGAATGAAAGAGTATTTAAATAAAGGTAGAGGATATACACTGTGTTGTTCATTTCAGGATTATAATTGCAGAAAATATTAAAATATTAAAAATATTCACCTTACAGTCAGCACTAACTGTTGGATTAGAGGGGCTCACTATTCACTTGGGGATACACAGAGCAAAACCCATTTTCATGTGCTTAGCATTCCAACTAGTCCTAAACAGCCTGGCTAACAAAATGGGATGAAAGATGATGCAGCTGGATAACACTGAGAGGTAACATTCTCTAGCACTGTCCTAAACCATCCAAAATATTAAAGGATAAAAGTGTGCATATATGCACTCCAGAGCATACTTTGTGCAAGACACAAAGGAGTCTGATATGCAATTACATATAAAACAGCATGATTTGAGCCCCTATTCAGGCACTGTGAATCTGGTTTCTTCAGAATGTTTACAGTACAGCATCTAGCTCTGCCTCCTTCTGCTATCATTTTCTTGACAAGATACTGGAATCTTGAAAGCAAGAACACATGAACCCTGGAAAATCTGGGTTCACACTTGTACATAGATCCTATATGTGAGTGGGAACGGCTCTTTTTCAGACTCCTCTGTCATCAAATAAAAAAAGAAATGATGGACAGAGGTGAGGCCAAGTACTCCCCTTTAAGTGTTCTGAAGAACTGGATTCGGTAATACAGTGGTGCCTCGCATTACGATGTTAATTCGTTCCAGCGAAATCGCTGTAAAATGAAAACATCGTAATGTGAAAATAAAAAACCCATTGAAACGCATTGAAACCCCTTCAATGCGTTCCAATGGGCTGGAAACTCACCGTCCAGCGAAAATCCTCCATAGGGCGGCCATTTTCGGTGGCTGTCTTGCGAGGAATCCGTCCCCGAAAATAGCGGGGAGCCATTTTATTTATCCGGCAGCCATTTTGAAACCGCAGATCAGCTGTTGGAAAATTGTCATTTTGCGAAGAATCAATTCCCGAAGCAGGGAACCGATCATCGTAAAATGAAAAAACCCTATTCAGACCATCGTTTTGCGATCGCAAAAATGACCGCAAAAATGTCGTCGCAATGCGGTTTCGTCATAATGCAGGGCAATCGTAAAGCGGGGCATGACTGTATTTGAACATGGCTTAGATTATGTCACACACAGGGACTGAAATGATACACTGCTAATAGCAAGAAGCACTTCTGTTTTGTTTTAGGAAAAGCAGAGAAAGCAAAGGGTGGCAGCCATTTTAAAAAACCTAAAGTAGGACATGCACAAGACTGCAATGTGAAATGTCATTTGTTCAAGATACCAGCCATGTCTCTTTCTATGATACTCCATTCACACCTATGACAGTCAAGAAGACTCTGTGGCCAAAGAGCACTCCTAGTCCTCAATGAGCTGTTTTTGGGGTCTCATCACATAGACCATTTTCTATAGTGGTTTCTTTTCTACTTCTTCTAACTTTCGAGTTCCCCAAAATCTGCTGATACTTCCTTCTTGTGTACAAAAAAACCCTTCTGGCTGTGCAAACATTCACATATGGATAAGGAGTTTGCTATTAAGTGAGTATTTTAAGTTTGTGTATTTCCAAATATCCTTGAAAGCTAAGCTACTACCAGGAAACAAGACTGGAAGAAGAAAACCTAAGATACTGAAGACATCTCAAAGACAACAGCTGATAATGTAATCTAAAGCATACAGTAACAATTGCATTTGTTCCAACAGACTTATTTATTTCCAGTTCAAAACTCAGTGCCATCAAGAAAAGAGCCTAAAGTTTTGGAAAACTGACTCTGTAGCTATTTTTCTAGAAGAATCTGAAGTTTAACTTTGTATGTGTAAGTAATAATACAAAAGCATTTTGAATTTCCCCTGCAGCCAATCAAGAAGGAAACTTTTATTCTATAACAAAGTAATGAGTTCTGTTAAGAAGGAAAATAATAAATGTATACACTTAGAGCTGTTTGTCTACTACACTGCCATTTACAGATTTATCTACATGGGAAAAATGGGGTTCAAAGATATAAGACCTATGTAGTTTTTGAGTTCCTTAACAGAATGATGACACAATAAGCTATAATAATCATAAGAAGTCTGAAAGAAAAGCAATATTCTTTGGTTTTAAACTACTGAACAATTTCAGTTCTGAAGATGGCCTATATATGTGATGTACATAGACCACGAAGAAAATCTATGTCATTTCCCCTTATTCTACCAATTCAACACAGAACAAATGGATGAACTTGCCTAGCTTATTAATTTCCAACTCAGAGAATTAGACAGAAGAGATTACTTCTGCTTTACCCAATCTTCCCACACCCCATTTTTCTATCTATGCAAAACTCCTTTGTCTTTCTGTGATTCAAAGGCATTAATATACAAAGCCCAGCACAATATGTCATGGAGGAAAGAAAGTGATCTAAATAAAAAAAAAAGTAAAAATAATGAGATCCTCAAAGATCTACCCATACCCCACTATGTCCTGCATCCTTCTGCTTCTTGCCCTTCTTGTGTGGAACATACCTTTATTTGTTTCCAATAGTAGAAGGAAAAAAGCAAGAATTTAGTATGATAGAAACAATTCCTCCATCTGCCTATGCATTTTTCTATGGCAAGGTGTGTGTATCTTCCCCCAAAGAGTGATCTTGAGGACAGACCATACAGGTTTTGGTATCGGAGTCCTCTCTCATAAGAAACATCAAATTTCAGATGTAGGCAAACGACTCCCTTCTTTGCAGGGGACTGTAATGCAGCACGGACACCCTCCTATCTTTTCAGTTTCACAGTGACTAATACTTGGTTTCTGTATTAACAAAGTATACTGTTTTGTTAGCATAAATAAAAATGGTAGAAAACTGGAAATCAATAAATTGAACAGGAGAGGGCTGAGCAGATGCATCTCACCTTACAACTTACTTGTAAATAAGTATTTTTACACACACCCCAAACTGAACCAGTCAATGTTTGATACAAAATTTCTGAATTATGTTATATAAAATTTAAAAATCTAGTCAAAATTACATGTTCAAATATTTAATATATAAGGAAAGTGGAGACAGCAGCAGGAACTTAGAACATGGTAAGGATTATCAGTAATAAAGACAGAAATTTTAGTGCAAAAATTGCAGTAGAAGGATGGGGGATAAAATTAGGATATAAAGACATACTAATTTATACAAAAAAATCCATCTCTGCACTGTATACAGTTTTTCTACAAATACAACCATAATGAAACGCTTATTTGCAAAATAATAGATCTATGAACATGTGCTTTGTGGAATTCAGTCATTCGCCTTAGAATTTCTAATTAGCTGGAAAAATCTGTGAACACAAAGACAACTAGTTAATCAAATTGCTCAGTGTACACTAGTATGCAAACATATATATTTATACATGCAACTATTTCAAATTGATCCAGGCTAAATAGATGAAGTAATTCCTTTTGCCTACTATATGCTCTGTATTTTTTTAGTATACAAAATGAAACATATAAAATATTTACATGTAGAAAAATCTGTGGAGTTTCTAGTGTTATTAGAAACTCCACAGGTTTGTTCCTATCATTGTTTAAAGCATAGCAAGCTTGATCTAGAGGCAATAGTGGAATGACATAAAATGATGATCCCCTTTTGGCCACCTGGAATATCATTCAGGTGCTTCTACCCTATTTCTCATTCTTGTTTCCTTCCTCAGTCTTCCAATATTATAGCTCATTCCATTCTTGAATTCCCAACACTCTCAAAAAAAGTTTTTTGAGATGGCTCAGATGATCACCGAGCAAGACAATTGTGACATCTATTGCTCTGCTACTTCCCCATTAATATTCACATCTTTTCTGTTTTCTGTGCGCCTTTTCACATTAGCACAAAGCACATTAAAATTGGTTACAAGCCATGCTGTTTTTAATGTGAGCTATACAATTATTACAGCTAGGTCACAAGGTGTTCAAGCGTGAGCATCTGAGAAACATATAGAGGCTATCTGCAGGGAAGGGCTCCATTCATTCTTTTAATTCCACCACATATCTAAGCACCACACGTGTAGAACTCAGCAGATGGAAAAACAAGCAGTTATAAAGTGGTTTAAGAGAGTGTAAGCATTATTGCATAGATTAACTATACAGAAAGTATCACAAAAATACTGAGAAGCCTGTTCACACAAGCAACACATTTTAGTAGGCAGGTCAGTTTTGTGAGTCTGGGCCCCCATTCCATTGTCCCGGGATCCATGGCGTGCTGCACCCCACTGCTGCTGCCATTGAAAATTGGCAGTAAATCATATGGTGGAAAAACCCATTTAAAGCCAAATATCAGTGAAAAATTGCTGCAATGCACCCAAAGTCTAAACTCCCTCTGAAAACACAGGCACGGAGCTGTGGATCTTCCTGGATTCATCTCTGAGCCTGGATGCCCAGGTTCCAGCGGTAGCCAGGTGTGCCTCAGCAGTTAAAACTAGTGCCCCAGCTGTGCCTGCTTCTTGAGAGGGTTGATCTGGCCACTGTGACACATGCCTTAGTTACATTTCAGTTGGATTACTGTAACATGCTTTACATGGGGCTGCCTTTGGAAAGTGTTCAGAACTCAAAAGGGTCCAAATTGCAGCAGCCAGATTGTTAACTTGAGCTGGTTACAGGGAACATATACCCCCCCCCCCTAATTACAACCACTCCAATGGCTGCCAATCAGTTTCTAGGCACAATTCAAAGGGCTGGTTTTAACCTATAAAGCCCTACGGATTCTAGGCACAATTCAAAGTGCTGGTTTTAACCTATAAAGCCCTATGGAGTTTGGATCCAAGCTATCTAAAAGACTGCATTTCCCTCTATGAACCTGCCCAGACATTAAGCAGGTGAGGCCTTTCTCTCAGTTCCACAGCCCTTTAACCTATAAAGCCCTATGGAGTTTGGATCCAAGCTATCTAAAAGACTGCATTTCCCTCTATGAACCTGCCCAGACATTAAGCTCATCAGGTGAGGCCTTTCTCTCGGTTCCACAGCCCTTGCAGGTGTGCTCGGTGGGACACAGGAGAGGGCTTTATCTGTTGCTGCTTCCAGAATCTGGAACTCCCTGCCATGGGAGGCTAGGCTGGTCCCATCTTTGCTGTCCTTTTGCAGTAAGCTAAAGACCTTTCTCTTCAGGCAGGCTTTTCCTTAATGACTGGTGATGAGAGGGGTTTTAAATGGATTGTTGTGCTCTGTTGATTTAAATGTGCTTTAACACTGTTCTTAGTTACCATTTTAATATAACACTCGCTTAATTCTTCTTAAATATTTGTACCCTTACTCTTTTTAGCTTTGAAATATTGTTTTAATGATGTTAGCCACCTTGAGTCCTTTTGGGAAAAAGGCAGGATAGAAATACTTTAAATAAACAATAAATAAAATAAATAAAGCCTGCTTTATTTTATGCCTCATGTTCTACCTTTTACCTTGAAACGACACCTCAATAGTTTGTTTACTGTCTGACTGTTTTCTTTTAATTTTACTGCTGTTGGATTTTATTTTAGCACACTGTAAACCACCAAAAATAGTGCACTGCACTAATGGAGCGGTATATTGTATTATATAAAGCAAGTAAGCAAGCTGGTTGCTTTCTGTGGAATTGTTCTGGGTTGCTGGCAAATTTTGGCTGCAAGTTTTGGGAAGGTACATAGAAAAGGCTTTGGGAAGAATGCATGCAATCCATTGGTGCTTATTTTTATTTTACAGTTTTGCATATTTGGTTACACTTTGGTGTGTAATGCCTTTAGTGTAGTACAATGATCATAATGCATGACTCAACATATTTGTTCAAGCTGATTTGTTGGCACACTGTGGTTACATATGTGCTATGGGACAACTTAAGAGTCATGCTGTTGCACCAAATAAGTAGAATTTATCAGCACTGGTTGCATTGGTCAGCCAGGCTACAGAATGTGTAGGATGTGGGACAACTCTCATATTCGCCATATATATACTTGGAACATACCTATAATGGAGCATGAAACTGGCTGCGCATTGCTATTGCCTGCTGAAGCTTCTCTTCTTTGGCTCTTCTACAGTGGCAAATCTAAAGAGAGAACAACTTTGCTCTTTATTCTCATACTCTTTTGCTTTGCTATTTATTATTTATTTATTCCTGCACTATTTGTTATTGTTATATGCTAATGTTTTTAAATTGTTTTGATATTCTGTAAGCCGCCCAGAGTGGTAGAATATATCAGATGGGCGGGATATAAATCGAACAAAGAAACAAACAAATACTCATACCATTTTTAGATTTATATGCCAGTCAAATGAATAAATTTCCAGTTGACCAGATGGGCGGGACATAAATCGAACAAACAAACAAACACTCATACCACATTTTTAGATTTATATGCTAGTCAAATGAATACATTTCCATTTTAACTCCAAATACATTTGTTAGCAAGTCACAAGGTACCTGATTATTTTACTGAGAAATTTAAGATGAAAGAAATCAATGAGCTTCAGACTTCAGGTATATGCCATGCTTGTGGAAATTCATTTGCTGCCACAGACTTAAGACATATAGCTTACTGTTTCCCCAGACAATTTGCAAGAAAATGAGAAATGGTCTATGATATTAATCTTTACCTACAGACTTTTTACTCAAGTAGTTGATGTTTAGCATAACATATCAGCTGATTATTAGCAGAGTAAAACCACATTGATTTCCACTGGAATCAATGTTATTAATATAAATAACTGGACTTGTTTAACCATTGCTAAATTATGATCCACATTTGTTTAGCTATCCTAAGTTTTGCCTGCCTTACATTACCTTATTACAACATGAATTATACAGATAATGTAACAGAATCAAGAAAGTGCTTATTAACCTTTTATTTCATACTTTGCTAGAAGGCCAACCCACAGAACACAGGGGATTTAGTTCTCAGCAAAGATACTTAATATGTCAAATAAAGAACTAAAAACTTCCACTGCAGTCAAATGGCTGGTACATTTTTAGAAGAGGAAGTCTTTCAAGTGACAAGATGTCTGTTTACCATAATATGGGATAGGCATCACCTCTGTATCTTGCATTTAGCACCCAGCGTTTCAGACATCTAACTAGTCAGTGGAAAGTAAACAACTTGATTTATAAATCAGCTTGCTGAAGCATGTACAGTATGTCTAAGAAAATCCCATTTGCAGGACGGAAAACAGGTTGATCACAGAAAATATTTATTCCCCTTAATTAACTGTTTAACCCTTACATTCAATTACTCAATTTGCCTACTAATAATCACACTCATATATTTTATATAGTGCAACAGTAACACTTTGTATCACATTACTATATCATGACTACATTCACTGATTGCACTTCATATGCCTTTTATAAAATCAGTGGAAAATCGGCTTGTATCATTAAATGATATACTGAACAAACCTTGCTATTATTTTTCCACCAACATTATATGCTGCTCTTGACTGAGTGCCGACCCCTATGCACATGATAGTATTCCTTGGATAAAGTGCTGTAATCCAACAAAGCAGGATGCAACTCAGCAGCAAGTCCAGCAACAGTGGCTTCCTCTTATTATAGCTGGTTGTTGTTAAGGTCTAGGTATCAAGGTCTGCCCTTTCTCTTTCCCTAACTCATTTTCCTTGCTGTTTTTTAGATTCTTGGCCTGTCATTATAAATCCTTGCAAGCTGTTTTGAGAACCTGCTTTTGGCTGGGAAGTGGGGATATGCCCCAATAGTTGGTAGGTAGGTGCTATATTAGGTAGGTAGGTAGGTAGGTAGGTAGGTAGGTAGGTAGGTAGGTAGGTGCTTAATCACACATGGTTTGTTTTCCCCTTTATTCACATTACACCAACACACTGTGTTTCATTAATTTATCTTTGGTTATTAGTTTAGAGGTGATTTAGTGCAGTGATTTAGTGGATGCTGGATTATTAATGTGGCAACATTTTATGGACTACGTACTACATTTTTTTAGTGCAGTGATTTAGTGGATGCTGGATAATTAATGTGGCAACATTTTATGGACTACTACATTTCAGAAATCAGCTTTCCTCCTTTTTCCCATTTCAGTATTTAAAAATACATACAGTATTTAAAAATACATACAGTATTTACTCATCTGTACAGTGCAATTATCTATGCAGTTCCCAACAATTTCAAGTAATTAGGACATCTGTAAGATGTTATTGGGATTATTAGTTTGACTCCCTGCCCCCAGCATACTTGGGATACAAGAAATTGATGGGGATGCTTGGCAAGAGCGATTGCGGAAGGCTTAAAGAACCACTTATTCTTGAATATAGCACAGTCCTGCTATAGACAATTTGTTATTTTGCAAAACAGTGAAAGATAGTCAAATTCTGGCCCTTAAAATGCTCTCTACTGCTCTGCCTTCCATTCTATTTAAAGTCTGAAGATGTAAAAAATAGATATTTGTCTTAAAATTGAAGAAAATTTTACATACTGTTCTTTTCTCCATGAAGCTGCTAAGAAAGTCATCTATTTCAGTCTTCCCTTCCAGAAAGTCTTCTGCAATAGTATCAGACTCTTCTTCAGCTTCATGAGCAGCTACTTTCAGTCTTGCTTGCAGAGCGCTTGCACTACAACTCTAAGAAAACACAGTACTGTGTATATGAAATGTGTTCAGTGCCTACACAATTCTCTTTGCAAAAAATTGAGTAAAATGACATGATGGTGAAATTTTTAAATCAATTCTGCAGAATCTGGTTTGCTTTTGCGACTGCAGAAACATTACCCTTCTACCCAGCTCACCTTCAAAAACCCAGTCTCACACTGGCTGCAGAGCTGGTATTGCCAATCATGCAGCATGTCATATGCAAGGCCAGCAGGTGCAGAAAAGCCACTGCATGCCTGCCTTTACTGATACAGTTCTTCTCATATTGCATTTTAATCACTGTATCCCAGTTCTACCAAGCAATGTAGGTTTCTTTGAGGGGCAGGTTGTATGCCTAATAAGTGAGAACTGCAAAATGGCTGTACTTACATTTAACCTGGAATTATTAAGAGCTATTATTTACTATTTATTTATTGCAAATAATATCAAATGTATAAAATTTTCCATTTCCACTACTAATTGTGTTGGGCCCCAATTAATATGCTTGTGCACACCAATCAGAGCACTTGTGAACTACTTTTGATTACCTGATACCCAGAAAACTCTGGGAAGGGTCACCATAATTCGGAATTGACTTAATAGCATATAATTTAAATGTATTTGCCTATTTAAACAATGTTGCTGAAATCAGGGCAAAGATTCATCTGGCCAACCCTTTTTGCCCTTTTCTTTCTGTTGTGCAAGAAGGCCAAAGCTTACCTCACTCAGTTCATGCTGTCTTTGCATCTTCTTTTCAAACATGGCCTTCAACTGGATAAGCTGTTCATACTGGCAGAAAAACACAGCATCTCTTAACAAGCAGACTCAACTGCACTCTCCAACAACCCAGAAAATATTTTTTTTCCTCACTTACTTTATCCAATACTGCTTGACGTTTTGCCTCCAAGCTCGGTTCCAGTAATAAATTTTTTTCTGCAAAGTAAAGCCACACTTCAGTTTTGGGTGGCTACTGTCAAAACCCGTTCAATATTGCAATGAAAAATATTTTGAAGTCTTACTTGCTAGCTCTTCAATACTTTTCACCAAGTCATCCTTATCATTAATGACTTGCTTCAACTGGGGTAGATTTACAAACTGTTCCAGCAACATGTCTTCTTGCTCATTCATGTCTGTCAACTGAGATATGCTGAATTTCAAAAGAAGGGAAAAATTATAGTTTTTGCACCGAGCATCTTGCCGTATAACATCAACTAAGCATTTTTGTTTCAAATACAATGTTTTCCTTACTTTGCAGCTCCATCTAGCTATCTACTGTATTTCCCTAATTTAAAAGGTGCCTCAATTCCCTGCACAAGCAGAAAGGCAGAGTAGAAATGATATTGAATTAATCAATCAGCCTAAACATGAGGACCACTATCCTATTCAGGAAGTGCAGAATGGAAGGGCAATCATGCAAGGCTTCCTCTGCTCCCCTTTGTGGGCCTGATCTCACACTGGCTGCAAAACAGGGAGCTTGCCAGAGTAGGAGGCATGCTTATGCAATTCTCCTTCTGCTCTGAACAGAACACTGGCCGATGTACCCCTTGTTAATATTGGCTTTTATTTTGCACTGTATATTTTTTCATTTCATAATGTCATGCCTTTGAGAAACTCATGTTCACTCATTGCCGCTTTTCTAGCGAATACTGGTTATTTTTGGAACAATCTGGCAAAAGATGCTAGTTAGACAAAAACAGGATTTTAAAAAGCATGCACTGAATGATTTCTGAGGCACCATGGCTTGTTCCAGTATTTGCACTGACTAGAAAAAAAGTGTGTTTGTAAAAAGCAGTAGAGCTATATGGACCATTTCTCTCTCTCTCTCTCCAAACTATACATAATAGGTGGCTATGGTGTGGGGAGATGTGTTCACCACTACTCAGCTAATAATGCTATAAAATATCTGAACTGAAGGTGAACACTGGTCTGACATATATTTGCTGATGCATCATTTCTACGTGCCAACATTTCACAATTGGAAATATTTAACTTGAAGGACTTTTATGAGCATGGGCAAACTGTTACTGTATTTCAAGCTGTTGCTGAAGTCATTATTTTAAATCTCAATTTAAACTCTTTTCATACTTATTGTGCCTTACAAATTGTGTTATGCAGGGTTAATAGCCAAGTAAGAAAGCAAAACAAAGTGCACTGCTTTTATACTACCCTATAGTGCTTAAAGCATTTTCTGGGTGGTTTACAATTTAATTATGCAAGTTACACATTGCCCCTCTAGCAAGCTGGGTACTCAGTTTACCAACCTCAGAAAAAAGGAAGGTTGAGTTAACCTTGAGCTGGCTACCTGTGCCCAGGGTAGAAATCAGGCCGTGAGCAGTCTCTAGACTGAAGTACTCCAGTTTAACCACTGTGCCACGAGGCTCCTAGGTAGCTTAGAGCTTAACAACACTATAGTTTGTTTTAATAATAAAAGAGCATTTTTACCTGAGTTCTGATAGTTCTGGAAATGCATCAGGAACATCAGGCATTCTGTAACTGAATCCATTTTGACTCCCCTGAAATTTTTAAGAAAGTGACAAGACACTGAATGGCAAAACACAGAATGGTACTTCTTTCTTAATACAGATCATGACAAATCTGCAAAGTTAACAAAAAAATTCCTTCCTGTGTCACATATATTATGTATGAAATGATACTCAGTTATAAATACAGAGTCTGTTCAGCAGAAGCGCTAACTGTACTATTTATATGTGTCTATTAAGACATGAGCCTTGCAGATTTAAGTAAGGCTTACTGCCAGGTAACCAGGCACAGCAATGAACTATAAAAGATAAACAGCTCACATCATCAGTACGGAAGTACAATGAAGTTCAGTAAGGAAAAGAATATAAACTTATACCATATGCGTCTAGATCAGTGGTTCTTAACCTTTTTGAAAGAAACGCCCCCTTGAGCCATTGAGGAAGTTATCATCGCCGCCCCTCCCCACGGTGATGATATCTTATTCATTCATTCATTCATTCATTCATTCATTCATTCATTCATTCAAGACACTTAAATCCAATGACCCCTGAAAACAAAATTCAATTCCAAGAAAATGAAATGCCTCCAAAAAGTAACATTTAATGATTTAGTTGCAAGCGAATTTTAAGACGCAAAAAGAAATATAAAAAGGGCATAAAAACAAACTGCAATGCAGGAACTTAAAATTTCAAGACGAAAACTCTGAAACTAAATTAAGATTGGAGGAAAATATATATTCATGCACATTGTAAAAAGGCTGCAGCCATCTTCACAGGTTTGGCTTGCTCCAGCGCCCCCTACCGCCCCCTTCTGCTCCAACGCCCCCACGCCGCCCCTTTTTGTTCTACTGCCCCCCTGAAAAATGAAATTGCCCCCTGGGGGGCATTATCGCCCACGTTAAGAACCACTGGTCTAGATAAACAAATTTAAAAATACATATCCAGCTCTAAAGACAAAGCATTGTTGTTCCCAATAAACAGAGCAAAGGATGACAAGGATGAATACATGATCCTTAAGAAGCACTTTGCAGCTCATAGTTCACTAGCTCTCAGATGGTTCAGATGCATGTCAACCATCTAACACAACAAGAACATCAGGGTAACGCACTCTTGATACTCTGATGTAAAATTACTTGATACACTCTGATGTAAAATTACAAAAACTGCTTTTTAAGGACTATGAATCCAGTCTTTCTCTAGAATGGAGTAAACCTTCATATAATTGTTTAAGTTATATACAGTAACACCCGAGGATAGTAAGGAAACCCGCAACATTAGGACACAGTGCCTTTCCCACTCTCTGAACAATCATTAACCCAGCTCTATCTCTCTGTCATTTGAACTGGGTAGGGATTGCCAGTGACAGGCAGATGTATGGATTTGGGCCAATAAACTAAGAGTGAATCCCAAGAAGACACAAGTTATCGAGATTGATGGTTACCAAGTCTGAGAAGAGGGTAGGCCACCTGCTCTAGATGCTATTGCATTTCCCATGAAGAAGCAACTACACAGCTTTGGAGCACTGCCAGAAACATCTGTCAGCAGAAGTTCAAGTGGCCTTGGAATGCTTAATTTAGCATTGGTCGGTCCACTAATTATGACTATTCCTGGGCAGGCAGCAGACAATGGTAACCTAACCTGAAAATAAGCCCTAGTATGATTTTTCAGGATGCTCGTAATAGAAGTTCTACCCCCAAAATAAGCCCTAGTTAAGTGAAAACCCACCCTCCACCATTGTGCAGCATTACGCAGCAACCAGAGGACATGACTGTAAAATAAAACATTCCCTGAAAATAAGCCCTAATGTGTTTTTGGAGCGAAAATTACTGTAAGACCCTGTCTTATTTTTGGGGAAACACGGTGTTACATACAGCTATGACCTCACCTGTCCGTCACTGCTAAAGCTGTGAGTCATCTACCAATGGTATGAGGGACGGTGGGACATAAGGGGTGGAGCTGTTGTATAAATGGGAGTGAATGTGTGTGAATGATTTCAGATAGGGAGAGATAGGGACTGATAGGGCTTTGATAGGGTTTAGAGAGGAGTTAGGAGATCTGTGATATATTGTGAGAGTCTGTGTATGCTAGTGCCTTGATTACAGTGATTGAATTATTATTTATTATAAGTGATTTACCATTCCTTTTATTTGTACCCAATAAACCTGAGTTTTATTTTGAATCATATTTTGGCCTGAAGCTACTGATTTGAGGGAATGGTTGGTGGCAGTGGAAAAGAAGAGTGATTTAGAGTGACGTAGCGACCCCCCTTTGTGAGGCAGAGGGAGGCCGTTATACACATACAGCTATGACCTCACCTGTCCGTCACTGCTAAAGCTGTGAGTCATCTACCAATGGTATGAGGGACGGTGGGACATAAGGGGTGGAGCTGTTGTATAAATGGGAGTGAATGTGTGTGAATGATTTCAGATAGGGAGAGATAGGGACTGATAGGGCTTTGATAGGGTTTAGAGAGGAGTTAGGAGATCTGTGATATATTGTGAGAGTCTGTGTATGCTAGTGCCTTGATTACAGTGATTGAATTATTATTTATTATAAGTGATTTACCATTCCTTTTATTTGTACCCAATAAACCTGAGTTTTATTTTGAATCATATTTTGGCCTGAAGCTACTGATTTGAGGGAATGGTTGGTGGCAGTGGAAAAGAAGAGTGATTTAGAGTGACGTAGCGACCCCCCTTTGTGAGGCAGAGGGAGGCCGTTATACACAGTATTAACTTTTTGTCTAGATTACTGCAATGTGCTTTATGATAGACTGTTCTTGAAGACACCGGTAGCAAAGAATGCATCAGCTGCATTGTTGCGTGGAACATCATTGTTCCTATCTTCTTGCCTGTGCCATCCCAGCTGTGGAATATTCTGCCCCCTCGTAAAAATTGGATGGTGCTGATGCTAGCCTTATTTTGGATTACATTAGGGTGGTTATTTTTCTTGTTTGTCATAGTTCAGTGAGTTCATTTTGTTTCTATTCATTAATCTGTGTGCTTTATTATGCAAACACAACAATATTTTGATGTTTGAATTATGCTAATCTTAAAATACAACTGGAGCTAGTTAATTCTTTCAGGCAGAGAGCCAGTTTAGAGATGTAATGTTTCCTGTCCTTGAATTCTACTAAATTTATACGACCTCTTTATCACCATAACAGAATGGTTTAAAATTTATTTTGCTCTCAGTGTCATTCTTCTACAGCATCTGAAATCTGGACTGCAACATTTTGCTCTCAGTGTCATTCTTCTACAGTATCTGAAATCTGGACTGCAACTTGTAAACAAGAAAACAGCTGAATCATACATACCTGTGAAAATGTTTCTGCTGTTGGAACTGGCAGTGGCAGATCTGTTATCATGCCAAATGACGGAGCAGCAGGCCTATCTGTCATGTAAGTTGAAGAAAGTGATTCTGCATGTGGCACAGATGCTACCGACCTATTTGTTTCTTGTGGCAGATACGAAGAAAGAAATGGAAAGTTCTGAGCATATGAAGGAATTCCAGCTGGTTTGCTGTAAAGGCTAAGAAGAACAAAAGAGGGTAGGGGACAATTTACACCTATTTCCACCTTTCTTCTCCAAAGAAAATTATTAAAATACACAAAACGCAGAACAATTTCTAGTTTTAACTATTTCCCATATTACTTAGCCATTATTAACTCTAGCAACCTAACAATTTGTATCACGTTATCTACCAACAATGCCATTGTAATATCACAGTAAATGATACTGGAGGGTGCCATTTTCAAAATACTGTACTTTGTTGTAAAGTTTAGCTGCTATCATAACAAAACTTAGTTTGCCCAGCGGAAATTTTCTAATCATTTTTGCTTGTTTATACAGATTATTGTATCACAAAATGCTTTGGAAAGCCTTCTCCATTTCAAATGAGATTTGCTATGTGACACTATGAAAGTGGGGATGCTTGTCTTAAGAAAGCTGAAAGCAAACCCAAACACAGGCCACTGGCCTTTGAAATTGGGGCTTTCCTGTAGAAATTTTGATACAGTACCTCAGATCTCACAATTCTTCATGATACAGATTACAGACTACAGTGAGATATTCTCATTCTAGGTCACCCTGTAGTACATATTTAGCACCTGTGCTTTGGCAGTAACTTCCAGTCTATTGAGCCAGACAATACTGGAAACGAAAGTGACAATGGCTGAGATAGAAAGGGGAATGATGTCACCAGCAGGGGGACATTTTCTGTAACAAAAGACGCCTACTGTTCTCTCCCATGGCTTTTGTAACTTTCAAATAATCCCTTTCATTTTGTGGCAACTTTGGGAGCCACAGAATGGTAAAAGAAAGTCTTCCATTACTAAATATCCCCTTCCCACCCTTAATATAGCATATGCCTGACTAAACAGCCGGCCTAATTGACCCTCTTGTTCAGGCATGCCACAAGCCCTTGGTTCCTGTGCCATATAATGGTTGAAATTCAATAGCAAGTTGCTAGAGTAGGCCCATTAAATCAATGGCATCCCCACTGATCAATCAATCTGTAAGGATTCAACAGGCTATTCTAATTGTGACTTACTACTGGATTTCAGCCGTTCTATCTACAGCTGTATCACAGGATAGCTACCTGTGCTCTGTCTTCATGATTAATTACCTGAGTTCCTAAACTGAACTAGCTCAAACAAAGTAATACATTCAGTGCAAAGAGACAGTCACCCTCAGCCTTTCAGAAGGACAGTCTCCAATTTCTAGCTATATGTTTTAGGCACAGAACAGTAAATTAAAAATATTTTTACTCAAAAGTTCTGCTCAAGACACTTCTGAGTAAACATGCGCTGTTCCTATTTTTAGTTATCTTAATAAAAGTTGCAGTGTCATCCAAAACTATGGTTACCAAACCATGCTTTTCCTCCTTGTGAGAATTGGAAACCATTGTGAAACCACAGCTCCCATTGCTGGCATTCACTTACATGCTGTGGGGTAACTGGAACATCACAGCAAACTGAACATATTATGAACAAGAAAATAAGAGACATAATCTGGACTAGGTAAAGGTTCCCCTTGACATTTAGTCCAGTCATGTCTGACTCTAGGGGGCGGTGCTCATCCCCGTTTCCAAGCTGCAGAGCCAGTGTTTGTCTGTTGACAGTTTCTATGGTCATGTGGCCAGCGAAACTAGACACGGAATGACAAGCTGGACTAGCAGATGACCAAAAAAAGGGCAGGGGGAGCATCAGCTGTCGCATATGATTTAGCTGTCATGTCTGATCTGAACTGGAGCCACAGTTTGGCAATGTAGGCGTAGGGCAAGATTTAAAAAAACACAGATATAGTATTAATGGATAGTTATCCATTCTATTTGGAATTGTAGGCTCCATTCTCTTTGTGTTTACTTACTATGGAAATGATGTTGAGCTGGGAGCCAAAACTGGAGGATTCTTCCAAAACTCATCAAGTATACTTTGAACAATTTTTCCAAGGTCTGAGTGCATTGTGAACTGTTAGGAGATTAAAAAGCCATACTATGCTTAGCAAGATTAAAGCACTGGAAGCTATGAAACAATCCACTTTATACTTAAGACAACTGTGGGGGCTTTCTTGTGATGATGGATGCAAGTGTCAATGACAGATACATCTGCGTCTCATGGATGTTCATACATATGGAGACCTCTCTATGTCTTATCTATAGAGAAACATGGAGCTAAAGTGTACCCATAATTTAACATAAATCAAAGTTCTTTGAGTTTAAAAAGAAGAGGCCACAAACCCTTAGAAAGTCAACCAAACTATTCTAAAATGCTATTGCTTCTCATTTTCTGAAGATTTATTCTTCTACACAGAAGTCATACTCCAATAATTCAGTAAGTGCATTTCTTTAAATATTCTGCAATGTAATGCAACTGATATAGCTCAGAATCACTGCTCTTAATTATTTATTTTGAAAAAACAATACAAATAAATCTACTACTGGATTGTCTCTTTAATTATTTTAGAAAATTATATGATACATACATTGTTTATTAAAGGACAGGTGACGTACACTCCTTGTTTATCCATTAAATGATGTCGTATTGGTGGGAAAATACTGATGATTGGTTTTTCCTGAGGAAACTGAGGAGGAAGCAAGCTGTAAATGCCAAGATAATAGATTACCACTGTTGGTTTCATGTACATAAAATTATTTATTTAAAATATTTTTAGCCTGCCTTTCTCCTTAAAATGTTTTACTCTCTACTATGCGAGCAATGCGTAGTTTATGGCCTGAACTAAGATAGCCAAATCCCTGCTTCCTCTGCTCTGCAAACAATCAAAACAGGTCTTCTCTGGCCCAGATTACAAACAAGCTGTACCGAGCCTTGGGCTCTTCTCCCTAGCATATGATACAAAAACAACTTTTGCCATTACATACAAGCTCAGGAAAAAAATTCATTCAAACCAGTTAGTTAGCTAGCTAAAAGACCTGAAAACATTAAGGCTTAACTCTGGCCTGTTTTAAACGATCATTGCTTCTGAATAGGGAAAAAAGCATGCAAATTCTGAGCTCTCTGTGGTTTATTTATGCAAAAAACCTCTTTAACAGATTGCTTAAACTACTTTTAGGGGATCTTACTAACTAGTTCTTTGAAAGTAGATGACTTGATAGCTTTCCCCCTCAACATCGTTTGCAGTGACAACATGCACTAGCACAGAGTTTTTCATCCAGAAAGTAAAAGTGGTGGGAATGTTTATTCCTCTGAGTGTCCAATGTCAAAAACAAGAAGCTAATGAAGCAAAAGTCCCTCAGAAACCCAAACAGTGCTCATATGTATTAGACTACAAGAGTGAGTTCTATTAAGTGGGAATTTTTATAATTTTGCCTTTGAATTTGACTAGACAGCCAGAAACAGCCCCCAACAAAAATTTATTTATTTAAAATATTTTTACCTAACTTTTATCCTAAAAAATTACCCAAGGCAGCTTACATCATTAAAAAGGCAATATTTAAAACCTAAAACAATAAGTTATACAAATATTTTAAAAATAATTAAATACATTAAAAATGTTAGCTGAAAACACAACTTCTCTAATAAAGTTCACAGTCTCAAACTTATTTACATATGTATGGGGCATACTAAGACAAAAGTAAGTTACATCCTAGCTTACTTTTGAGGAAAGGTCTTTCTGATCTATCTGTCTTTATCAGAATTTATAAAACACAGCTAAGCAATCAAGATGAAATAGAGTTAGAACACATGGTACTCACATGTTAATATTAATTGTCAGAGTATTTACAGTGAATGGCAATCGGTACTCCACATCCTTCTGTATTTCAGCTATGCTATTAAAAGAAGTACAAATATTTATTAGTGTCATCCAATAGCTGAAATCAACAAACTTAAACATGATCAGGTTAACTACCTTAACATCCCAGTGATTTCAGCGGGAGTGTTAACCTTAAATTTGGTTGAAATTTAGGAATTTTAACTTCCTAACTTCAGCTGGAACATGGTCTGTGTTCCACATTCTCTACTTTAGTTGCACAGTGTTATAATGCAATCTATAATGAGCTTGCAAGGGCTCAGGAATGGCCTCTGAAAACATTTTGGTGTCTACAGGACAGTAATAGCTTGCTTTCTAATAAATGACAGTTGACAGCAGCTAGTTTTGTGAAATACAAGAGGGGTCTGGGGGTCTGCAAGTAAATGCAATTGCTACGGTTTCCATGTCTCCATAAAACCATTAGTGTTATAATGCAATCTATAATGAGCTTGCAAGGGCTCAGGAATGGCCTCTGAAAACATTTTGGTGTCTACAGGACAGTAATAGCTTGCTTTCTAATAAATGACAGTTGACAGCAGCTAGTTTTGTGAAATACAAGAGGGGTCTGGGGGTCTGCAAGTAAATGCAATTGCCACGGTTTCCATGTCTCCATAAAGCCATTAGTTAGAGTAACGGGCAGTGGTTCTTAACCTTTGTTACTCAGATGCTTTTGAACTGCAACTCCCAGAAACCCCAGTCAGGACAGCTGGTGGTGAAGGCTTCTGGGAGTTGCAGTCCAAAACTCCTGAGTAACCCACCAGTGAGTTAGAGTATTCCATGTCTCCATAAAGCCATGTAGTTAGAGTAACATGGCAAATATTAGCTCTTCTATGTCAGCCACCTTAAAATGTATCTACTGCTGCATCTGCAGGGTCTTTCACTTTCAGTTTGGCTAGACCCCACTTTGTCAGCTTCTTCACACAGGCATCGCTCTTACTCAGCATCATTATGCCAATTCAGATTCCAGCATTATAAATCCAACTTCTATTTCCTACCCCATTCATTAAGACTGGGGTTCTAACTGGGGAGAACACTACTGAATAGGCCATTCTTCTGACAACTGATGCGACTGACAGCAAAACTGAGTACCGTCATATTGTGATTTTGATTTTTGTAAACAAAAGCATCCAGTAAATATTATCAGTTGGAAAGGTGCTTTGATATTTTGATCTGTCATTGTACTAACGAGACGACCCAGACAGATTAGATTCCCTTACCGAGAATGGAATAACTGATGTGGAATAACAGGGCACCAGAAAACAAAAGGCTGGGAATAAGGTACCCAAGAAGGAAAGCATATTTAAGATCTCTAGAACCAAACCAAAGGCATGCTTCATGCTAAAACTGTCATCCTAAACAAAGCCATGTATAACTAACAGTACACATACTTGCCATGCAGTCCTACTCTTATGTCTGAGGAAGTGGACACGCCCACGAAAGCGCATTATTAACATATTGTAATGAGCCTTTACGGTGCCACAACGTTTTTGCCTTCTTTGTTTTCTAATGATTACTCTTTGGTTTTGCCTTGCATCCTAAACATGTTTTCCCTGAAACAAGTCATTGCCGATTAGCGGAAGTTAACGTTGATCCCGATGCGTCTAGGCCGTGACTGGAGTCCAGCAATGAGGC